AGGCCAGGCCCAGTGCAGACTTCACAGATAGTTACAAAACCACGAAGCCATGACAGAGAATTCATCTTCCAGGGTGGAAGAGGGCCAAGCTGGGAAGGTGTGCCTTGGACCCCAGCTTGAGAAGCTGGGAAGCCCTCAGCGTCCCGTGATCCTAGGCAGACAAGTTTTTTAAAAATTCGGAGGTTTTTACCAACAAGGGTTTTCTTGAAAGCTCTTGTAACTCACTCTGTTAGGGTAGGAATAGAGAAAATCAAAACTTGGCTCAAAAACAGAGGGGATAGCCAGGAGTGCGTGGTGGGGCATGCCTGTAACCCTGGCACTCAGGAGGCTGAGGGAGGATGATCCCTGCGAGTTCGAGGCCAGCTTGAGCTGCAAAGTGAGTTCAAAACCAGCCTGAACTGCATAGTGAAACACTGTTTCAAAAAGAAAAGAAAAAGGAAGGAAAAGGAAACTGTGTGGCCTGCGAAGTGCGAGCTCTGAGCTCTCGGTTGGCACCTGCCCTTCCCAAACGGTAATGGGCCAGCTCCTTCCTGTCCTTCCTTCCGTGGGTGCTGAGGGTGTCCGTAGCCTGGGCTCCCCGCAGAGAATCTCAACCTCATTGACTATTCATGTAAGGAGGAGACTATGGGAGCCTGTTGTTAATATTCATGAGGGGGCGTGCCTTTCCCCGCTGGGACTCCTGAGGGGGCTCTCTATTACTCCTGAGGGAGGAGGCCACTACAGAGCCTTGTTTTTTTCAGGGGCAAGACCTCCTTCCCGCTGGGTTCCCAGGAGATCTCTAAATGATCCCAGGAGAAGAGGAGCACCACAGAGTCAAAGGTGTTTATTATTCATGAGGGGGCGGGGCCTCCCTCCCACTTGCTCTTCTGGGAGAGTCCTGACGGATCCCGGAGAAGGGCACCACAGAGCCGAAGTCTTTAGTATTCATGAGGGGGCGTGGCTGCCTCCCGCTGGGGCTCCTGGGAAGATTCCAAAACATTCTCGAGGCCCGGGGGCGGGCGCGCGCGGAGCTGACCAGAGCCGGAGCGTCCTCTTCTAGGCGGAACACCAGAGGAGCTATTTTCCCTCTTAAACGTTAAGAAGTGTGAGGATAGTGGGGCATAACGACTAAAACTCACTTCCCTGTGATTCCTTAACCGGAAAACTGTCAAAATCTGTGGTAAATAGAGCCCCCACCCCCACACCCGCACTGTCTTGTGGAAATAATTTCATTTTTTCCTGGCCTGAAGGGGTCAAAGATTGGGTTCTCAAATTGTCCAATTTTTTTTTGTGTGCGTAGTCTCCCTATTTTACTGTTTAGAGGTGATCGAAAGGCTCCTCAAAAGGTTTGGCTAGGTTAAACAATACATTCCGATGGTTTGTTCTTGGGGTCCCCGAAGAGCCCCCCAAAACCTTTCACCCCTGACCAAAAATTAGAGAAATGGGGCAGGGACAGGGAAACCACTTCATCATCATTTTGATCTGCGAATCCCATTCTATATAGGTATGAGAGAACCCCAAAAATGATTTGGGGTGACATCATTAGGGTTTTCAGAAAAGCCTGCTCTTTCCCCTGAAAAAAGGTTAGGGCTGAATAAGGAAATCAGGAGTTGGAAGAAGAGACTTTGAGTTTAAAATTATTTGGGCCCCTCACACCCCCCCCTTTAATTGTGTGTGTCCTTAATGGGTGACACTAAAGTCCCTTAGGACAGGGTCAGGTGTCTCTGAAGAGACCACGACTCCTATTTTAACAATGAGGCCAAATCTGTATTTTATTGTCATAAGAGTGCAGTTCAGGTTGGCTTTGAGCTCACTTTGTAGCCCAGTCTGGCTTAGAATTTGCAATGATCCTCCTCCCTCAGCCTCTCAAGTGCTGGGATTACAGGCATGCACCACCATGCCCAGTTTATAAATAAATTTAATTGTATTTTTTTTAAGTTTTTACATGTTATTCATGTAGTTTTAAGACTATTTTGAATATATCTAGCCTGGCATATTAGCACACACCTGTAATTGCAGCACTGAGGAGGCTGAAGCAGGAGGACCACAGAAAGTTTGAGGCTACCTGGGATACACGGTGTGTTCAAAGCCAGATAGAACTATGTAAACTATGTAGCTGAGAATATGTCTAAAAAACAAACAAAAAAAGCCTACTTTAAATGTTCTTCATGGATTGGTTTAGATCATCGTCAGGTTTTTCAAATATACAACTAATTTTAATGTAAATTGAAATGTAACCTTTTTTTTTTGGTACTAGAATCAAACTCATGACCTTGTGCTTACCAGGGAAGCCCGTAAGCCACTGAACTAAATCTCCAGGCCTAATCTTTTAAAATGATTAATTTTAGGCTGGGGCTTTAGCTCAGCAGCATAAGCAACTGCCTTACAAACAGGCGGTTGTGAGTTCGATCCCTGGTACCAATGAAAAAAAAAAGAAATACCAAAATGATTAATTTTAAAAGGTTACAAACTATGTGATAGATTGTAACTCTGATGAAATACATTAGTTGTTACTTCAGAAATAGAACCATTGATTGGAACTGTAATTCTGTACTATCTACATAAATACACACAAAAGTAGTTTTCAGAACTAGAACAATAGAGTGACACAAGGTCACCACAGCAGTATGATGCATAGTATATTTTTAAAGAATCATTGTTTGCGGTCAGTGATTTTAGTGAGTCATACTGTACTTTATAAGTACCCTTTAGGAAATGTTTGTTTTTAGAATCAAGTTGTATGGGCCCTTCCTAAAATTAACCAGTGACTGATATTAAGAAAAAGTATACCTAAAGCCAGAAATGGTGGTGCATGCCTATAATTCCAATGCTCAGTATGAAGGCCCTGGCTCAATTCTTTTTTTTTTTTTTTTTTTTTTTTTTTGTCTTTTTATTGGTACCAGGGTTTGAACTCATGACTGCCTGCTTGCAAGGCAGGCGCTTATGCCACTGAGCTAAATCCCCAGCCCCCCTTGGCTCAATTCTTAATACTACAAAAAAACAAAAACTGTTTTGTTTATTTTTGTCTTTTTGAGACAGGGTCTTACTATGCGGTTCAGGCTGGTCTTGATCTCAGTTTGTAGCCCAGGCTGGTCTTAAACTTGCAACAATCTTCCTGCCTCAGCCTCCTAAATGCTGCAAGGGATGTGCTACCACCTCCAGTTTATGAGATAACTATTATTTATATCATAGCCTTATTAATTTTATAAAACTTTAATTTTTTTTTTTTTGAGACAAGATCTCACTATGTAGTCCAAGCTGACCTTAAACTTGTGGCAATGCCTCACTCTCTCCTAGGTGCTGGGATTATAGGCATGCATTGCTATCCCTGCCTACAAAGCTTTAATTTTGCTGCTTATTTGTGCATTACACAGCACAGCACTGGTAATAGTAATGCCTCCTAGTTAATTTGTTAGACCTAGTACATTTAAATAGCTCTAAACTTAGAGTCTCTATTTTTGTGTGTGTCATTGTGTCTAGCAAAACAACAGAGGTCAGTACCCAATTTTAAAGAAATATAAGAATAATGTTACAAAATTTTAAAGTGATACTAATTCTTTGATTGTTTTAGGATATTATGGTTGCAAAAAAAAGTACGTACTAATTGATGGATATTGTGAGTTTTTAGTCATTGTTTTTTGTTTTGAGGTTGTGGGGATTGAACACAGAGCTTCACATAACTAGGCAAGTGCTTTAACGTTTTGATTCATCCAAGCTGTGATAGATATTGACTGTGTTTTGAATCATATTGAATTTTTATGTGCTTTTTTATTTTTCATAATACTCTTTATATGTTTCAAAACTCACGAATTCAGGTTACAAAAGAAAGTATATTTTTTGTAACTATGCATAAGATCTTTGTCCTTAATTAAATCATGTTAAATCTTTTGCTTTTCTTCTCTTTTTGTTTTCATTTTCTTAGCATTATTTCTCATTGAAATACATGTCTCATTTTCTAGTAAAACTACTTAGAATGTTTGGTCAAAAGGTGAGGAATTTTAAAATTTTTTACATGATGCTGAGATGATTATAGATTCTATTGGTGAGACCCCAAAATTGGACATCATAGTAAAACTTCTGTGTATGTGGAGAGACATCTGTTGCTCATTGTTGATACCTTTGTTTAAAGTATAAACAAACAGGGCTGGGATTTACCTCAGTGGCACAGCACCTGCCTGGCAAGCATGAGGTCCTGAGTTCAATTCTCCATACAAGAAATAAATAAATAAATAAATAAATAATAAATAAAGTGGGGTTGGTTCTTGGTGGTAGAGCACAGGCCTAGCATGCAAAAAGCCCGGGTCCATCCTGAGCAGTACTGAAACAGCAGCTGTTCACTGCTTTAATTTCCTTTCTTTATCTCTTGTACTTTATTTTTCTAACCAGGATAAATTTATGAGATTTTAAAAATGGCATCTAGAATAAATACCAGTTTCACGAGGATTCCCAGCCAGAAGCACAGACGTACCAGTCGTCGATCCAGCTATTTTTCCAACAAACAAGATTCAGATTCTCAGCCCTTATCAACACTTGGAAGTTTTAAAGCCTTGCCATTGGAAGTATTCCAAATAATCTTAAACTATTTGTCAGGTGAGATTTAGGGATTGTGGGTAGGCTACTTACCCACAATCCCTAAATATTCTAGACACTAGAATATTTTAATTTTTTTCCAGAAAGTCGTTTGTCATTTTAAACTTTGCTAAAATGTTAATAGCACCCATGTTTATTTTCAAAAGTTTCCTTACTGTTACATTGTATGTTGCACAAAGTGAAAAGCAATGTCCTCAAACCAAGTGTAATTCTAGAAAGAGGTGGTAACTTGATTGTCTTAGTCCAATATAGATCTAATCATTGAGAACTGGATTTAAAATAAATTTAAAAATTTTTTCCCACTAGGACAAAGATGATTATGATTCATAATGAATTAACTTATAAGTTTACAGACTGTACTAATTAATAGCAGTGTTCTTGCATTTAAGATACTCATGCCTGGGTGTGTACTTCTTTTGGTAGTGAGAGATGTCGGCATGCTAAGCATGGTATCCAAAACAGTTAGCCAGATTGTTATCAATCATATCGCAACCTCCTCAGGAAGCAAGAGGCTATTACCACAGGACTTTCATAACTTTGAGCTGCCTGACAGGAGACAAGACTTCATTATTCTGGACTACTACAGATCTCTAGGTAATTTATGAGATGAGAATTACACCAAGGAAAGAAGTAAATTAAAAGATTTTATTAAACAATTCTTTAAAGCCAGGAGGGGATGGACTATTCCTAAAATGTGTCAGTTTCTGATGTGTTTGCTTGCATATGTGAGAATGTTCCCTTAACCACTGTCCCATACCTGGTTTTTTTTTTTTCTAAACAACATAATCTTGATATTTGGTTTTGTTGCATGCTTTGGTTAGTTATAAAGTAGGTTCATAGTTAGATCAGTGTCATTAGTGAAGTTTAAATTAGAGTTTTATTTCAGCACTTTGGGGAGAAAAAAATTAATGAATGAGTTAAAAGATATAAATAACTATATATTAATGGAAGAAAGATTATAGGGAATTTCCTTTAACAAGGTCAATTTAATTATAATGATTTATCAGTAAATGTGTAGTGTTTTAAAAAGAAAACAGTAGTCTTTGATAAGAGAATAAATCAGCCTCTGCAATCTGCAATAATGTATTTAAACTTATTTTCTTGTTTTAAAGACTAGATATTATATTTGAAAGTGAAATAGAAATAAAACTCATTAGATCCAGAGAATGTAAAGCATACAAAACATAATTTCTAAAGTAGTAAACCACCCAGATGATAAGCATAGGCAATATTGTATGTACATGAAATCACAAAATACTGAAATTTGACATTAAAATGTATTTGATTATCTTTAAAGAGGTCCAAGGGCCAGGTGACACTGCTTGTGGCTGTAATCCCAGAACTCAGGAAAGTTGAGGCAGGAGAATCACCTGTATTTGAGGCTAGCCTAAACTACACAGTGAGACTGTCAAAAAACAAAGAAACAGGGGCTGGGGATTTAGCTCAGCGGCATAAGCACCTGCCTTGCTAGCAGACGGTCGTGAGTTCAATCCCCAGTATCGATAAAAATGAAAAAGACAAAAAAAAAAAAAAAAAAAAAAAGGAAAGAAAGAAAAGATTATGTTGCAATTTAAATAAAGGCAAGGTGAGTTAAGTGAATATTGTCTTTTAGTAGTCTAAGAATGCCTACCTTTAAAATAGTAAATCTAGCCAGGCATGGTCATGCACACGTCAGTACTCAGGAGCCAGAGGTGGGAGGATTGCCACAAACTCAAGGCCTGTCTGGGCTCCATAATGAGTTCAGATGCAGTCTGAACTCTACAGTGGAAAAACACCAAAAAGAGCTGGGTGTGGTGGCTCACACCTGTAATCCCAGCAGGGAGGCTGAGGCAGGAGGATCACTGAGAGTTCTAGATCAGCGTAGGCTACAAAGTGAGCTCAAGGCTAGACTGAACTGCATGAAGAGACCCTGTCTCAAAAAGACCAAAAAAAAAAAAAAAAGATAAATCTAAAAATGTAAATACATCAAAATACATTTGATAAGTATAGTTAATGACCAAATGAAAGGCATTTAATCTGAATACAATGTCATTTATTTCAATATTTATAAATAGGTTTAGTAAAGTTCATAACCAAATATAGTGATTTTTTTTGCTATTTCTCACTATAAATACCTTTTTAAAAAAACATAATTAGTTGAATATGTGTCCTTTGGTTTAAGTCTGAAAGAATTTCTTTTTTCTTGATCAAGTCTCAGTTGCTTAAACAAATAATCATATGGGGCTGAGGATACAACTCAATGGAAGAGAACTTGCTTAGCATGCACGGGACCCTAGGTTCTGTCCTCAGCCTCTCTCACACACACACACACATGCACATACATGCACACTTACATGAATAACCTAGTCATTATATAAAAATAGAAGTGCAGAAAAGATAAAAATAAATAAAGTCATGATATTCAGGTATATATTTTTCCTAGTATATATCTTTTTTTTAGTTCAAGAACATTTGTCTTTATAGGAATATTAACAGTGCATTGCCATTTTAGTTAGGAAAACAATGATTAGGGAAAACAAATCACATGTTTCCTGTTGCGGTGGTTTAAGTTACATCATACTGAGAAACTGAAGATTTGTTTTTGTTGTTATTTCCCTTTTTGAAGTGTCTGATTGCAAAATCCTACATATTCTTCACATGCAAATTCCATAAAAGGACATTTTTGAAGGAAGAGAGAGAAATTTAATCTAAATTTAATACTTTCTGTTAATAAAAATGGCAACCTCTGGAAGTTTAAGTACTTGATTAATTTGTTGTATTAAAAAATCTCTCTCTGTCTCTGTCTCTGTCTCTCTCTCATCTTCTGAGACAAGATCTCACTATGTAGTTCAAGCTGACTTTGAACTCACTATGTAGCTCAGGATGTGGCCTTGAAATCGCAGCAATCCTCCAATATCAGCCTCCCAAGTACTGCAATTACAGGCGTGTGACATCTGGCTGGCTGCTTTTTTTTTTCTTTTGGTATCAGGGATCAAACTCACGACCGCACGCTTGCAAGGCAGGTGCTTATGCTGCTGAGCTAAATCCCCCACCCATCTGGCTTCTTTTCTTCTTCTTCTTGTGTGTGTGTGTGTGTGTGTGTGTGTGTGTTTAGCCAGGGACTCACTATGTAATTCAAGGCTGGTCCTGGACTAATTGTGTAGCCTAGACTGGCCTCGAACTCACTGAAATACTCCTGCCTCAGCCTCCAGAGCACTGGGATTACAGGTGTGCACCACCATACGCAGCACACCTTTTCCCATTCTTTCATGTCTTACATTAACAATATGCAAATTATTTTCCTTTATAGTCAAGCAGATAATTTCATAAGGTGCTTGTATCTTTTTTATATAGAATAAAAAGTTTCCCTGGCATATCTTTTTTCCCTAGCATATATTTGTGTCTTACTATTTTATCTTTTTAAGTCTAAATACTTTCCCAAAAAATCTAAATATTTCCATATATATCCTAGTATTAATTTCATAGCTTTTTTTTTTTTTTTGTCTTTTTGAGACAGGGTCTCGCTGTGCAGTTCAGGCTAGTCTTGGGCTCACTTTGTAGCCTAGGCTGGTCTCGAACTTGCAACGATCCTCCTGCCTCAGCCTCCCGAGTGCTGGGAATACAGGCATGAGGCACCATGCCCGGCTAATTTCATAACTTTTTAATAAAATGTTTCAAGTTCTCTTAGATGGATATTAATCATTTGGTGAACACCATGCAAGTTATGTATTTTGTACATTTCTTTTCAAAATTTCCTGTAAAACCTGTATCATATTGGTGGCATATCCTTGTGAGCCCAGCACTTGGGAGGCTGAGACAGGAGAATCATCATAACTTTGAGGCCAGCCTGGACTAGATAGAAAGTTTGACGTCAGCTTGAATTACATAGCAAGACTCTGTCTCAAAAGACCAAAACAAAATAAAACAGAACCTATATTATACTCAGGCAAGGTGGTACACACCCATAATTCCAGCTACTTTGGAGACTGAGTCAAGGATATTACCAGTTTGAGCCCACCTGGGCAATGTAGCATCTTTGAGAGACCCTATTGCAATTTTAAATGTTAAAAAAGATCTGGGAGGGATGGGGATTTAGCTCAGCGGCATAAGAGCCTGCCTTGCAAGCAGGTAGTTGTGAGTTCGATCCCTGGTACCGATAAAAAGGAAAAAGACCAAAAAAAAAAAGGATCTGGGGATATAGCTCAGTTCACTCTGGGTTCTATCCCTAGGACGGTGTGGGGAGGCCTTGAAAACAGAAACCACACTGCAATGAACTATGGAAACATCACTGTGTGCCACAGATACATTCGGACTTTGGCATCATCATGTCTTCCTTGTGTTTTGCAGGTGTGCTGTTCAAAAGATGCACGTTGCTGCTGCCCACCAAGGAAAGGCTAAAGTGCATTCACAGGATACTCTCGGAAGTAAGATCATACTTCCACATTGGCTCATAATCTTGATTTCTAGTAAAACTATTTTACTACTATGATCTTATATTTATTTTAAATGTATCTTTCATTAATAGAATTTCACAAGTTAGAGCTAAAAACTGATCAATGGTAATCGAAGTCAGAAGTTATGTGATCCCCAAACCTAGCATAGTACAGTCATCCTCTCTCAGCCACAATTCAGGTATCCACAGTCAATTGCAATCTCAAAATATTAAGTATGAAGTTCCAGAAATAAATTCATAGATTTTACATCATGTATCATTCTGTATAGCGTGATGAAATCTCTTGTCAACCTTTTTCTTTCCACCTGGGAGGAGAATCATCCCTCTGTCAGTGTGTCACATTGTATGTGGTATCACCACTAATCACTCGGTAACCATCTGGATTATCAGAGCCACTGTCATGGTGTCACAGTGCTTGTGTTCAAGTCACCCTTATTTTACTCCAAAGTGCAAGAGTGATAATGTCAGCAATAATATGTTATTATTGTCCCATTTACTATTGTTATTGTCTCTCAGTATACTTGCCTGCTAGCCTGCTAGCTTGCTTCCTTTCTTCCTTTCTTTCTTGCTTGCTTGCTTCCTTGGTACTGGGACCTTGTACTTAAGCAGGTGCTTATGCACCAATATGCCTAACTTATAAATTAAACTTTATAACAGGTACCATGCATTTAAAAATAGTATATATACAGTGTTTTTGCCCCACATAGGAATCCTGAGGAAGTTTTAAAGTGGTGACCTAGATATTTTGTTAAAATTTCTGAGCTGGGCATGGTGGTGCTGCCTATAATCCCAGCAGTTGGGAGACGGAAGCAAAAGGATCAAGAGGTTGAGACAAACCTTGGCAATTTAGTGAAACTCTGTCTCAGAATAAAGAAATAAAAAATGTCTGGGGATGTAACTCAGTGCAGAGGCCCTGGGTTCAATCCCTGGTACTGAAGGGAAAAAAAGGTTAAGAATCTGTTTAAGTGTACTGAAAACATGGAGGTGTTTTTTTGTTTGGTTGGTTGAATTTTTTTTTTTTTTTTGAGACAGGGTCTTATAGCCCAGGCTGGCCTTAAACTCTGGGCAATCTTCCTAACTCAGCTTCCCAAAGTGCTTCCATTACAGGTGTGCACCACCACTCCTAGCAGAAGAGTGTTTTTAACTTAACCTTGCATGATAATTGACTTGAAATTATATATCAATGCAATTGGCACAATATCTCCAGACAAGCCTGCATTTTACTGTACAAATCCTAACATACATGTAATGAGATGACCCATCCTGTGCTCGGAAGTATGCAAACTGGTCTCAGACACTCTTCCACACAGTATTTCTCTTGAGTTCTGTTTTATATTGCAGCAGCTTCTCAAATGTTATGGTTTGTGTCTAGATATTCCCCAAAGCCTCATCTGGTCATAGGTGGGGCTTCTCCAGAGGTAGCTGAATCTAGAGTATGTGATGCTGGGATTAAGGGTGGGGCTTTACTAAATCAGCCCCCTGCCTGCTTTGGCACCCCTAATTCCAGTAGCCTGGATACAGTATAAGAAACAGAAAGAGGCTTGCCTTGTCCTTTGCTTGCTTTACTACCTTCTCCCTGCTGAACTCTTTCTACTCTGCAATTCCTGACTGCCACACCACCCTGCTTTGGAGCCAGTTGATGATGAACTGAAACCTCTACAAACTGTAAGCTAAATAAGCCTTTTCCCCCTTAACTTGTGGGTATTGGGTATTTTGTCTCATCAACAAGAAAAGTAAGACAGAATTTGGTCCTGTGAGTGGAGCCGTTGCTAGACCATAGCTGACCATGTAGTACAGGAGCCACTGGTCCTGGCTCATGGGAAGGGGAAGAGTTAGGAGAGATTTGGAGGTGCTGGCTTAAAAAGTAGAGCTGGGGTTGGGGATTTATCTCAGCAGCATAAGCACCTGCTTTGCAAACGTGTAGTCATGAGTTCAATCCCTGGTACTAAAAAAAAAAAAAAAAAAAAAAAAAAAAAAGTAGAGCTGGACAATTGGATATAGATGTCTTATGCTCTGGGTAAATGGTTTGAGGATGACAATGCACAATGTATGTATTGTTGACCCCTGACTGAAGTGGTTTGAAATTTTGTTGCAGGTTTTTTTTTTTTCTTTTTATTCTGGAAATAAAATGGATTTGGAAAAAAAAAAAAGTAAGAGCTGGAATGCCTTAGATTGTATTTGATGGGAGGTTCTAGTCAGAGATCAGAATACCAAAATCCTGATAGAAATAATGCTTGTAAAGATGAGGCTTAGGAGATTTCGACTGGGAAGAAGGATCACATTGGCTGTTGGACTCCAGATGTTATGGGTTGGCAGAAAGTTGATTTGCATTTTGGTTGTATCTAGAGACTTTTCCTGAGCCTAAGATTAAGAGCAGTGGCCAAATCAATTTTGCAGAAGAAATTTCAAGGTAGTCTAATGTTGAGGTGGTGGCATGACTGTTAGGACTTTTAGCCAGATTTATGTTAAGAAAGAAGAGCAAAAATCCCAGTAGAATGATTTGAAATGTTATTTGAGGGGCTGGGGATTTAGCTCAGCAGCATAAGTGCCTGCCTTGCAAGCAGGCAGTCATGAGTTTGATCCCTGGTACCGATAAAAACAAAAAAGACCAAAAAAAAAAAAAAAAAGAAAAGAAAAGAAATGTTATTTGATCTGAAAGAGAGCTCCAGTAAAGTTGTGGTCTACAAAGTTGAAATAGAGGAAAAATTGGTCACTGAAAAGACTGGCATGAAAAAGCCAAGTATTTCAAAAGAAGACAACAGAAAAGATGGCCTGAGAATACTACCAGAACCATCAGGTCAGCTAAGGATTTAGCTTAGTGGCATAAGTGCCTGCCTGGAAATCACGAGATTGTGAGTTCAATCCCGGTACTAAAAAAAAAAAAAAAAAAACAAAAACCCTCAGATCTCTAGCCTTTATAGCCTCAGAGTTGCAAAGGTGAAAGAATTTGCTTTGAGAAGAGAACACAACAAAGCACCATGCTCCAGAATGGCAGCCACCTAGAGAATTTGTTCCTCAGGATTGGCTTCAGAGTGCTCCACAGTGCAGGGGCTCAACCCCTATAGCCAAAAGAGAAGGAAGCCTGGCTGCTGCTCCACTGGCAGCAGACTGTGGCAGCATCCACATAGCGCTAGTTCTAGTGCATGTAGAATGCAAGGGTTGTGAGGTCAGAAAGGCTTCCAGCCAGATTTCAGAAGAAGGCCTAAGGGGCTGGGGATTTAGCTCAGTGGAATAAGTGCCTGCCTTATAAGCAGGCAGTCATGAGTTCGATCCCCAGTACCAATAAAAAGTAAAAAGACAAAAAAAAAAAAAAAGAAGAAGAAGAAGAAGAAGGCCTAGGAGGATGGCACTCCTGATAAGACAGTATGGGAAGCTGCGAATGTGATCACAGCCAGTGGTACACTGGAGACTCCAGAAGTCTGGAGAAGCCAGGTGTGTGGGTCATCTGAGGCAAACTGTAAGGAGAGAGAAGAGCTGGATTAAGAGAAAAGCCATGGGAGCTACCACCACCAGAAACACCATGGGGGCAGGCCACATTCAGCACAACTCTCAGCATTCTCAGGGTGAAGGACAGTAAAGGATGAAGAAGTAAAGACTACAGTCAGTGACGGAAGGTTGAGGTCAGGAGGAGACCTCTCTCCTGTTCCACACTTGCAGCACATTCATTTATGCACTCATCAGGTTTTTGTCCTGAGACATCCCTCTAACTAGCAGTCTGTTGTTTGGGCTGCCTTGGGCTCTCTGTGTTCCCAGCTTGTTCACATGGCTCACCTGGCTGCTCCTCACATGTGAGCAGTCTTCAGTTTCAGCCACTCCCACAGGGCAGAGCCATGCAGGCCCTTTGGAGTTTACCTCTTGCCACAGATTACTTCAGATGCTCCACATGAAACTCAGGGTTTAAGGTTTACCTTGCAGGATTTTGGACTTGCTTTGGCCCCATCCTTTTGTATCTCCCATTTGTCCCTTTTGGAATAGTAATGTGCCATGGTATGTTGGAAGTGTGTAACTTTCTTTCATTTATATAGGAGTTAACAGCAAAGAATTCACCTATAATTTCTGAGGATACTTGGAAGTTGGAATTTTCAGCAGTGCTGAAACAGTTAGGACTTTGGCAACTCTTAGAGATGGACTAAATACCTTTTTTTTTTTTTCTGTCTTTTTGAGATGGGGTCTCACTATGCAGTTCAGGCTGGCCTTGAATTCACTTTGTAGCCTAGGCTGGACTTGAACTCACAACAATCCTCCTGCCTAAGTCTCCCGAGTGCTGGGATTACAGGCATGAGCCACCACACCTGGATAATTAACTAAATGCCCTTTACATAAAAGAATGTACATACATGAATCTTTGGGAAGCCAAGTGCAGAATGTTATGGTTTGTATCTCGTTGTCCCCCAAAGCCTCATCTGGTCATAGGTGGGGCTTCTTCAGAGGTGGCTGAGTCTAGAGTGTGTGATGCTGGGATTAAAGCAAGCCCCTTGCTTGCTTTGCTACCTTCTCCCCGCTGAACTGTTTCTCCTCTGCAATGTCTGACTGCCACACCACCCTATCTTGGAGCCAGTTGAAGATGAACTGAAACCTCTACAAACTGTAAGCTAAATAAGCCTTTTCCCCCTTAACTTGTGGGTATTAAGTATTTTGTCTCATCAACAAGAAAAGTAACTAAGACACTCCCAAAGCATCACACTGATTAATTTTTATTTTTATTAGGACATTTTCAGTACATAATGGCTACATTCATCAGAGGATTTATACATCTACATAGTGCATTTTATTCTCTCCCCTTACTAAGATAACTTTCTTGCTTAAAATCTTTCAGAGGCTGGTTATGGTGGTGCACATCTGTAATTTTAGGTACACAGGAGGCTGAGGTAGCAGGATTGAAAGCTCTAGTCAAACTGGGCAATTTACTAAAACCTTGTCTCAGAAGAAAAAAAATCAAAATGAAGGGCTGGGGATTTAGCTCAGCAGTGTAAACACCTGTCTAGCAAGCATGAGGTCCTGAGTTTGATCTCTGATACCAAGAGAAAAAAATCAAAATGCCTGGGGATATAGGTCAGTGATAAAGCACTTGCCTGCTTGTGCAAGGGTCTGCATTCAGTTCCAGTGCTACCAAAAAAGATCTTTTGGTGACCTTGAAAAAATAAGATTCAAGGTCCAAAGCTTGTATTTAGGGTTGTCCTGCAAAGCAGCCTTATTTTCTCTACTGTGAGCCTAATCAGGCTGGTCACGCCTTTCTCAGCCACAAACACTGTTTACCTCCATATGGTTTTGAGCTTATCACTGCCCTGGCCAGTACTTTCCACTCCTCACACCTGAGTCCTGCTTTAAGGCTCTGCTTCTTTCACATTTCTCTCACATTGTATCAGGGACTTGCAAGGAGAACAAAACAACACAAGGCATATAATTTATAGTGTTACCTATAATAGTCACCCAAGGAGTCAAATTCAAAGAAAGTGCAGGAAATCTGTCCACATACTAAACATCTAGATAATCCAGCCGAGGGCCTGGATTCCATGGAATACTCTATATGAGTTCAGCTGAAGGCCTAGAGCCCAAGACAATGACTCATGCAAGTCTGTTTCAAGAATCTGGGCTAGGAAATTCCCAAGGTCAGCAGTAGAAGCTAGAGAGTCTGTGCCAGGGGTTAAAGGATCTGTGCCAGAAGGCTCTGCATTGGAGCCAGGAAGCAACGCTCAAAGTAAGGACCAGAGTTCCTCCTGAAAAGTACCACAATCATCCTCCATGACAGTGAGGTCCTGAGCTCCTCCAACGATGAGAACAGCCCAGTACATGTCAGGAAGCCAGCGTGATGAACTTCTGGAGGCTGAGCAGCACCCATCTTCCCCTCAGAGCCAGGAAGCCATGGACACAAGGACCAGAGCTCTCCCAAAGTGAAGCACAGCTACTCTCAGCAGCAAGGCCCCGAGCTCGTCTGATGAGAACAGCTGAGCTCACATCAGGAAAGAAGTTTGACAGGCTCCCACAGGGGAAGCCATGGCAGCAGGGGAACCAACAGCACCACACAACACTCACACCCTTCCCCTCCAGGTCTCCTGTTTATGCTGCAGCAGCCTTCAGGGGCTGTCCACAGTCAGCACCATGCTGACTCAGTTCAGCTAGTGTTTAAGTCAGTTTTCTTTCTTTTTTTTTGTTTTTTTTTAGACATCAGACAGAAGGGTAAATCTCTTCAAGATTAGACTGTCAGTTTTCAATCCACCATCCTCACAGGTTTTTAATCATTCCCAAATTTATATTTTCCCTGTTTTTATATTGTCTGATATAGTATTCTCAGGTCTTTTAATATTGATACAGATTCTGACATGAATTAATATAGCAATTTCACAGGGGTATATTTTATTCTCCTGAATTGTGAGATCCTTAAGGGAGAATGTCTTGTTTCATACTATTCTTCTGTAACCCCACCTATGAACACAGTACTAATTAGAATGCATACTGAAAACATTCTTGCTTGTCTCCATTAAATTTGAATGTCAAATCATTCTACAGGTCTGCAGAAAAGGCAGAATTAATGCATGTTCTCTTTACAGGTTGCCTGCTTTAAATTCAATGGCTGTGCAGCTCCCATGCAGTGCTTAGGACTATCGTGTTATGGCATGATTTTACAGGTACATGTTTTAGTGAAAGAAGGAAAGAAATCCTTTGAAGTGATAAGTAGTGAAATCTATCCTTCTGCAGTTAATAGAAATTTGGATGTTTTTGCTTTTGTTTTCAATTTTCTGAGAAAGGCTCTTACTATGTAGTTCAGGCTGGCCTTGAATTTGTGAAGATCCTCCTGTCTCAGCCTCCCCAGTGCTAGGATTACAGGCACTGTATCCATGTGGTACCATGCCTGGAAAATAGAAGTTACAATAATCTTAAAGAGAAAAAAACAAAGTTGTAAAATTCAAGAATGTATTAATAACATGTTTTCTAGCTCAGATTTTTTTTTTTTTTTTTTTTGTACCGGGGTCAAACTTTTTTTTTTTTTTTTGTCTTTTTCATTTTTATCGGTACCAGGGATCAAGCTCACGACTACCTGCTTGCAAGGCAGGCGCTTTATGCCACTGAGCTAAATCCCCAGCCCCCAACCGGGGTCAAACTTACAACTTCGCATTTGCCAGCAGGGACTTATGCCGCTGGCTAAACCCCCAGCCCTAGGTCAGATTTTCTTCTTCAATTCCTAGCTTGCAAGAAATGCTTAACATTCATTTCCTTTATGCCAAAGACTCGAAGATTCCAGTTAGTTGTAAAGACTACAAATACTACAGGTTAGAATATGTGCATTTATGTATATAGTGAGTTTAAGCTCTTGGTCTAGTTATTTAAAGTGTGACTTTGGAAATCAACTGTATGACTTCAAGAACATTTTTATTAACATTTTATTGTAAACAAAGAAGGTAAAAATAGCCAGGTGTAGTGGCATACTCCTGTAACCCCAGCTACTTAGAAGCCTGAAACAGGAGCATCACCAGATCTTGGCCTCCCTGGACAATTTTGTAAGACCCTGTTTCAAAAAGAAAGCAGGACTAGAGGTATACAGTATGCCTGGGTTTGAACCCAGACACACTCATAGATACACACACACACACACACACACACACACACACACACGGACAGGAAAACATGATAACCAGCATTGACTAAGCCCTTGCTAAGTTCCAGATGATATACAGGGATCATTTCATTTAAAGCTGACAACTCAGGAAGCGGAGCTTCCCCTGAGGGCCCAGAACCAGATCCTGGCCTGCCAGCCCCTAAGACCTTTGCACCCCATTCCAGGGCTTCCTTTTACCCTCTTCCAAGACAGATATTTTAAATTTGTCTATGTCTCTATTTCTTTTTTCATAATAGGACATATGTACACAATATTCATGTAAAATTTAAGTTACAAAATGTGTAAAGTGAAAAATAGTACTATCTCTCATCTACTGATTTTTTTTACCACCAAAAGTAGTCACTGTCCCGTTTCTCTGTCTCCAGACTGAATAAGATTATTATAAGTCTTTTGTACTAGAGACTTAAGATTAACTTTTAAACTACTGAATCCAGTTAATTATTTTAGGGACAATTTATGTGATTACTCAGACTTTCAAAATCTAATTATAGTTGTATACCACTGGATTCCTTTTTTTTTTTTTTTAAGCCAGTCAAATTTAGCAGTGGGGGGGTGGTATACCAACTTTAGTGACACTAATGTTAATAAGTTCTGATAACCCACTGCCATCGGACCAGCCTGGATTCCTTTTTCATACATGCTTAATTTGTGCATGTTACTGTGTTCAAAGACAGTTATTAAATTTTGGGGCTGGGGATTTAGCTCAGTGGCATAAGCACCTGACTTTCAAGCGTGGGGTCATGAGTTTGGTCCCTGGTACCAATAAAAAGAAATAATAATAAAAATAAAGAAAATTCAAAAAAAAAAATAGGGGCTGGGGATTTAGCTCAGTGGCATAAGCACCTACCTTGCAAGCGTGTGGTCAGGAGTTTGATCCCTGGTACCAATAAAAAATAAATAAATAAATTTAACCTAATACGATCTTTTTAGTTGTTCAAACCTGAATCATAAATAAACGTTCAAATTTGTCAATTAAAATGAGAAATTATCACTTGCAGGCAACAGCAGGCAGGCAAAGCTCTGCTGCCAGGGTAAAACTGAGCCTGTGAGGTCGTGAGGGAGGCACCCAACGCTGTGGTCTGGGCCTTGTCAGAGTTCAGGTCCAGCGCTATTCAAAAGCGCTGTGAAAGATGCTGCCTTTTCAGCCAAAGGCAAACTGGGCTTTGGGGGTTTTTAGGTCCAGTTATGTGAATTTCATATTAACTTAAAAGGCTCCAAAGGAGTTAAAAACCTCACACACTTTGACAGTTTGCTCGCAAAGCAGCGGTAGCTTACATTTTGATTTGTGGCTTGGACATCTGCAGTGTTTCCTTTACTTTACCTTCCTCAGACCTTGACAGCAGGCTGGGATGAACGCGAATGCCAGCGTGTTTACAATTTCTTATGCGAGTTGACCAGCCTGTCTCGCAAGATGCAGACTGTTGTCTGCAGCAAACCAGGTAAATAACTATTCTCTCTCCCTCTCCCTCTCCCCCTCCGTCCCACCCTCTGTCTGTCTCTCTGTCTCTTATGCTTTTGCTGACCTCTGCCACCATGAACTGTTGACCCTCTGTCATGTATCTGCCTTGGAGACAGCCAATTATGGACTGAAACCTCTACAAACTGTGAGCTAAATAAACCTTTACCTCTTGAAAGAAAGAAAGAAAGAAAGAAAGAAAGAAAGAAAGAAAGAAAGAAAGAGAAAGACCTGTAATTCACAGGTAATATTATACAGAGATTAAAACATGCACACCTGGGGCTGGGGATTTAGCTCAGCAGCATAAGCACCTCCCTTGCAAGCAGGCGGTCGTGAGTTCGATCCCTGGTACCAGAAAAACAGGGGAAAAAACATGCACACCTATAATCCAGTACTATGGGAGGCTGAGGCAAGAAGATCTCAAATTCAAGTCCAGCCTGGGAAACTTAGTGACAGGGAGTCTCCCTCTTTGCAAAGTTAAAAAAAATTTTTTTAAATGGGCTGCAGATGTAGCTTAATGCAACAGCCCTGGATTCAATCCTCAGTCCCAAAATTAATTGCTTAATTAATTGCATACCTAGGGCTGGGAATTTAGCTCAGCGCATAAGCGCCTACCTGGCAAGCACAAGGTTGTAAGTTCAATCCCTGGTACCAAAAAAAAAAAAAAAAAAAAAAAAATTAATTGCATACCTGTAGAATAAAAGGACAAAGTAATTTAGGGGCATAATAAACATGTCATTGTGACCAAACCAATACATACATGACCTGGGAAAGAAATCCTGAGAAGGCACTGACTATACTGATACCACTGCATTCTTCAAACTGGGGGGAGGGGCAGCAACGCAGTTAAACTCAGTATTCTTTAAATTTTTCTATACTATAAATATTTCATCTTTTTAAGACAGAATCTTCCAGCAATTTCATGCTAACGAATTCCCACAGTGCATACGAGGAAGCTTAGGTCAGAATGACTGTAGCAGCCTTGTTTGTGACAACGAATCATGGTACAAACCTAAAGCTCCACTGTCAGGGGACAGGGTAGTGAGCTGCAGTCTGTTCATACAGTTCAAGCCATTACAAGTTAAATGAATAACTAGAGCCATATATATATATATATATATATATACACACACACACATTTTTGGTACTGGGGATCAAACTCATAGAGCTATATATATTAATATGAATGCATTTTAGAACATAAGTTGAGGAAAAACAAAAGTTACTGAAGGGTATTTGCAATTTGATTCTACTTATATACGTATAAAATTATATTCTTTATGGCTACGTGCATATATAAAAAGTTATGAATATATAGCTTAAAAATAATTTTTATTTCACCTTGGCAAGAAATGGTGCCCACATATTTGGTGAAGCATGATTTTGTTTCTGTGAAGATAACTTTTTAGATGTGAGGAACACTTGAGTCAGTAGACTTAAAGTCTAGCAGATTTGCCCACTATGACATGGGGCTCTCACGTGGTCAGACGAGAGGGAGGCCACCCTGTAGCAATGCCCTTGGACTCAGCAGGCTCTGCTCTGTCTCCTTCTTGCCAGGCTGCCCATGGTTCCAGACTTGCCAGACCACCAGTTCCTTCAGATAAATCTATCTCACTCTCCCTCACCCCACACATCTATATGAATTGACAGTGTACGGGCATCATGTCTGTGTATGAACAGCCTCCTGTTGGTTGTTTCTTTAGAAAAGCCTAACAAGGTACAAAACCCAAATTCAAGATGGCAGTTACTTCTGGGGGGCTGGAAGCAACATACAGCTCTGCTGGGGGGTAGCTCTCAATAGTGAGCCCAATTACTGGATGGCTGATGGAGGAGGATTGCAAGTTCTAGGCCGACCTGGGCAGTTGAGCCAGACCTTGTCTCAAAATACACAGAGCTGGGGTGGGGGGGAGTTGCTCAGGGGTGAAGGGCACCTGAGATCCATGCCCATTTTGGGGTGGGGAAGAAGAAGGAAAGCTTGAATGTCTATGTTTTGTTTAAAATCTGAAACAAGCATAGCGAGAAGTAAAGTTTTGACAAAGCTGGATGATTTGTTCACAGTGTTAGTTACAGAATTTCTGATTTCCTATCACTTAAAATATTTCATTATAAAACAAATTATAAATTGTTATGGCTTGTATCTAGATGTCCCCCCAAAGCCTCATGACGTCACAAGGAGCCTTTTCAGAGGTGGCAGGGTATGGAGTATGTGATGCTGGAATTGATTCATGGTGCAGTGCTAGGCTTCAAGGACTCCAGGATCCAGGGTATGAGTTTCACCAGTCCTAAGTAGCCTAGATAAGATATAAGATAAAGAGCAGTGATCATCCCTTATTGCTTTGCTACCTTCTGCCCACAATGAACTGTTTTTCCGCTGTGATGCCTTAGAGCTAGTGGACCTTAGACCTAGTGGATTATGGACTGAAACCTCTACAAACTGTAACCTAAGTTAACCTGACTCAACTACTTTTCTCTTGTTGCTGAGACAAAATACCTAACACCTGACGTTAAAGTAGAAAATATTTAGCTCACAGTTTGTAGAGGTTTCAGTCCATAAAAAGCTGGGTCCAAGGCAAGTGGCATGGCAGAGGAACAGCAGTTCATGGTAACAGAAGACAGCAAAATCAGCAAGAGAAAAGGGGAGAGAGAGTGTGTGAAAGCCTCTTTCACTCTCTTATATTGTGTGCAGACTGCCTGCCCCAGGGCAGGTGAAGCACCCTCACCCATAATCTGAGCATTGGGCTGCGAATCAATCACCAACTCTAGAAGCCCACCCCCAAAGTATTTGACTTTGAGAGGACATCCAGACACAAACCATGCCAAAACCTTTCCTCCCTTAACTTTGGGCATGGAGTATTTTGTCTCAGCAACAGGAGATGTAAGATAAATCAAAAGGGAAAATTTTATTCTGTTGCTTTTTTTTTTTTTGTACCGGGGATGAAATGCAAGACCTAGTGCTTGCCAGTCTGGCACTTATACTGCTGAGCTAAGTCCCGGACTAGGTTGCTGCTTTTTTTTTTTTTGTCTTTTTCATTTTTATCGGTACCAGGGATCGAACTCACGACCGCCTGCTTGCAAGGTAGGTGCTTATGCTGCTGAGCTAAATCCCCAGAGACAGGGTCTTACCAAGTATTTCAGGCTGGCTCTAAATGCACTATGTAGTGCAGGCTGGACTTGGACTCCAGAGATCCTCTCTTCCCCGGTCCTCCACATGCTGGGATCACAGATGTATGCCACTGCACCCAGCCAAAAGGACAGATTTAGAAGCCCGAAGAATCAATAACAAGATTGGCTTATCGTGTTTCTCCCTTGATCTTTTATTAGCTCCTTGACATCTTTATTCTTTTAATTTTTTAATTTTCTGGGGGGAGCGTACTGGGAATCAAACTCAGGACCTCAAGCCTGACAGGCAGACAGTGTGCCATTGACCTATATCCCCAGCCCTAGCTCCCTGACATCTTTGAAATAAAGTCCAGATTACACTGTGCCTCATATTTTGGTCCCAACCTACTTTCCAGACTTTCTGGTCACCACCCCCGCTATCCTCCTGGCAGAAACATGCTGTCTCCCTGCTCACCAGGTCTCAGGTTCTCTCCACCTATTTGTATCTCAGTGCCTTTTCTCACTCATTCTCGTTTTCTTCAGTACTATCTCCTCCTTGACGGCCGAGGCCCTTCCTCCTCTGCAGAACCTTTCCTGACCTCCCAGCTCTTCGACACTTCTTCCGTCTAACCTTGTGACTTGGGTTACTTGGCGTAACACACCACGGAGGAACAGCTCAGGCCTTAGATCGTTAATCGATTTCTTCATGATGCTTGGGTTGAAACCTAGGGTTCAAACAGGATGGTCAGGTGGGCTCGGCACAGGCCAGGCCTGGCTACAGGCAGCATTTCATGCGCCCGGAGCAGGGCGGTGGGGAGTCTTTGCTTTTCCTGGCCATGGAGTTCGTGTTTAGGTGGATGAGTAAGTTTTGGAAATGGCTTGAGAAGATGATTGAACATCATAAATGTAATTGATTTACCTGAGTTGTACACTGGAAAATGGTCATAATGGCAAATTTTATGTTATGTATTTTGCCACAATTTTTAAATTCTATATTTTAGTTTATTTATTTATTTATTTATTTTGATGCAGGAGATTGAACCTATGGACTCACACATGCTAAGCATATGGTCTGCCACTGAGCCACACACCCAGCTAAAATGATATCTGTGTGTGTGTGGGGGGTAGCTCAGGCTGCCTTTGAACTGCCTGTGTCACCCTGATGACTTTGAATTCCCCATCCTCCTGCCTCAGCCTCCCAAGAGCTCCATCAATAAACTCAGAAAACAAAATGAGACACCATTCTATATCCACTAGGGTAGCTAGAATCAAAAAGTTAGGTAACGAGTGTTAACAAGCACTCGGAGACATCAGAACCCCCTTGCCGTCGAGAGGTTGCAGTACTTTGGAAAGCGGCCAGTTCCTCCAATGTTTAAGCGCACACTACCATATAACCCAGCAGCCCCTCCTAGGTCCATCCCGAGAGAAACGGAGATGTGTCTCCGAAGAAACCTGTGCAGAAGTGTTGACAGCGGCCTTATTTATAGCAGCCCAAATGTAGAAATAACCCACATAACCATCAGCTGGGGAAGGGATGAACAGTGGTACATCCCTAGGAGAGAGCAGTACTTGGCCACTAAGAGAGGACAGATGCAGACTACAGCACGGTGAGCCGTGAACGCGCCGTGCTAAGTGAGGTAAGTCCCAAGAGGCCACACACTACTGATTTTACAGAAATCTAAGGGCCGAAATCCACGAAGGCAAAAAGTAGGTGGTAAAGCATCAAGAGATGGTGGGGGAGGGTGACAGCTAAAACAAAAAAAGAAAAAAGTTTTCAAGTGACGTAAGCTTCTAAAATTGACTGTGGTACTGATCACATGTATCTGTAAACACACCAAAACACTGTAAGGGGCTGAACTGTGTAATGCGTGGATTATAGCTCAATAAAAATTTTAAAATAGCCCCTCGATAATCTAAAGCTCACAGAAGAAAATGGAGCGATGCTTTTAGAACACGGCATGTTGATATCATGTCGTTGACACGTCCTTGCCCTTCTTTTGAAATCTCAAATTGCATAAGAGGTGACCTTAGGCATGTACTTTGATTGGCTCATGATTCACAGGATTGAATATAAATAAGGACGATAAGGATAAGAAGATCTTTGAATTTGAGGATTAAGGCAGTTTAAGAACAGATAATCTCTCAGTGACTTCCTTTGCAGAAACCCAATTCATGATTATCATCTTAACCACAGCTGCTAATGTGTCACTCTGATCACCATCCTGTAAGCAATCTGCCTGCCAAGAGGAGTAGCTGACCCTTTCTGTCTCCGTAGGAAGCACCCGAAAGTTGGAGCTAAGGATCAGACTGTTTTGTAGGAATGTCCTGCTTGATCACTGGATCCATCAAAGTGACTCAGCTTTCTGGCTGACACGAATATTAAAACCATGGCCGATGGTGAACCAGGCACGGTTACTATATATTATCTTCGGGCCAACATCGCCCCAGGATGGTGAGCTCCTGTTTTCAGGGATTTGGGTCATAGACCTGGACGGTGTCAGGATTGCTAGTGACTGAAGTGTGCTTTATGACTTCATAGGTGCATGCTACGTAAACTTGTGGAAAACTAAGCAAGAAATTGTTCTGTAAGGTAGAAATTGTTCTGCTGTAAGTTACTGCCAAATATGTTTTTCATCCTGCTTTGCTGGATAACAGTCCTAAACGTTGCCTTTTTTTTTGCAACAGGATCTCACTATGGAGCCCAGGCTGGCCTCAAACCTGTGGTGATCCTCCTGTCTCAGCCTCCTAAGTGCTGGGATGGCAGGCGTGTACCACTACGCTGGCTTAATCATAAATGTTGTCTTAACTCAAGGTTATATTTGTTCCTGGAGAGATTAAGGATGCCAAAAGGCAAAGCAGTGGTCAGAACAGTCGCTTTACTTAGGCTTAAGTGCAGTGTGTTTCCCACGCCTGCATTAGTCCACATTGGTTTACCCTTACCTGGGCTTGCTCCTGCACACCTTGTAATTCTAGAGCTCCGGGAGTCAGGTGCAGGAGCTGCAAGTCTGAGCCCAGCACGGGCAGCCTGCAAACTTGGTGAGAGTTTGTTTAAAACAAAACATGAAGTAGGGGGTGTACATCAGTATGGCAGCCCTGGCTTCAGTCCCTCGGGCTGGAAAGCAAACCTGACTGAAAATCTTAACTGTTTTAGTGCCAAAACCTGGTTTGTTTAACTGTTTTGGCAGCACAAGGGATCAAACTCAGGGCCTTCGCACTGAGCTACATGTCTATCCTTTTTTTATTTTGAGACAGGATCTTGTTAAGCTGCTATTGCTAAAAAACTGGGTTCAGACTTAAAAATCTCCTGTTTCAGCCTTCCAAGTGTTAGGGTTATAAGCATTTGCAACCACTGGGTAGGATATCAGTTTAAAGTGTGTTGAGTAGCAGCAGGGTACAGGGTCACATGCCTGTAATCCAGGCCACTCAGGAGGCTGAGGCATGAGGATTGCTTGGAGCCCAGCCCAGGCAACATGATGTGACAAAAAATTGTTCTGTGTGCTCCACAAAGAATCAGCCGTCAGCGGATAATCCACGATTCACTGGCTTACTCTGTGTTAGTGTAAGTGTGTGAAGATTCCCAGATGCAGCCTGCTGTTTTAGGGAGAGGGTGTCAGTGAGTTTCACTTTGCTTTAGTGAGATCATAGCAAATTCTCGTTCCAATTTCTGTTATGATTAAGATCATCTTTGACCCAAGCGTACCATTCTGTGTGGTGCAACTACCCTTTATTACTTTCTTTAGCTGTCATTTTTGTGTTTCATCAGAGCAGTAAGAAACATTTAAATTTGGGGCTCAGGATTTAGCTCAGCAGCATAAGCACCTGCCTTGCAAGCAGGCGGTCATGAGTTTGATCTCCGGTACTGATAAAAAAAAATTTAAATTAAGCCAGGGATGGTGGCACAGGCCTCTAATCTCAGCATTCAGAAGGTAGAGACAGGAGGATCGCCAGGATCGCCATTTATACAGCCTTGGCTGTATAAATGAGTTCAAGGCCATTTTACACTATGTGATGAGACCTTGTAGCAAAGAGTAAAATAAAATAAAATAATAAATGTATACTGTTATCACAACTGACTTTTGATAAGTAATTGGTTTCCATTATGCAATCCACTTCTCCTCCTTCTCTTTCTTACAGTACTGGAGATTGAATCCAGGGTCATATGCCAGGCAATTCACTAGCATTGAGCTGATCCCCAGCCCTTTTAAAAAATAGCTTATTTTGAGATAGGGTCTTGCTAAATTACCCAGGATGACCTCAATTTAACAGTCTTCCTGCCTCAGCCTCCCATGTAGTAAAATGACCAATAAAAGTGATTGGATCCATTTGTCCCACCAGCAGCAAGACAGTCACATGTGCACCACCAGTGGGCCAAGCTGACAGAAGCATGTCAAGCCCTGAAGTCCGTATAGCACAGTGAACTGCTCCATCAGAGCCTTGTTGTTGTCCCAATTCAGGACTCGTGGCTTGGCAGAAGATGACAGAAAGCCCTGCAGACGAACTCAGTCTGAAAGGCTTAGCTGATGCTATTAAATTGCTGTATGATACGTGTGCCAAAGAGTGGACAGCAGACGACATCATCAGTCTGATAGATGAACTGTCAGGTGAGACTTGGTTTGCTGCAGACAGCAGGGCACTGTTGGGCGGTAATTATGAAATGTGTCTTGTTCTGCAGGTAGCAAGGAAATGCTCCTTAGAAATCACGGCAGCTGAAATACTTCGGGCTTAGCAGCTGCCTGGAGGAGAATGCATTACAACTTTGCTTCAGAAATATAATTTATATTAGTATTCACATCTTTTTAGGTTTTTTGTTTCAAGAGAATAAAACCAAACGAAACAAAACAGAATAAAACCAATCAAAACAAAACAGTGATACAGGACTTCAAAACAGGATGAGAGGAAATCAACAATGGCTACCATAATGCCTCTTGTTATGTTTTTTTTTGTTTTGTTTTGTGTTTTGGGCAGGGTCTTGCTAAATAGTTCAGGCTGCCCTTGAACTCACTCTGTAGCCCAGGCAGGCCTGGAGCTGACAGTGATCCTCCTGCCTCAGCCTCGAGTGCCAGGATTACAGGCGTGCACCATCACGCCCAGCTCAAAGCTTTATAGCTTCCTTAGCTCCCTCATGCATGTTTCACATGGAAACAGCCTCCTGGGTCAGGGGGAAAGGCCCCTGTTGCTGGCCTGGGACAGTAAGCCTGCTTTCACAGGCCTGAGGAGACTGTAGGTCCTGACATGGACATGGCCCCAGCCTTACACGAGATCAGACCCCCATCTGCTGACACACACAGTGTGTGTCACTGCTTAATATGTGCGAGTCACCACCTCTGTTTCTGGGCAAAGGAAACTGAAACGCTTTCCCAGGGGCTTTGCCCCACTCACTATGTCCCCAGGAAAGCAGGGTGGCAAGTGCCTACGTCAGGGTGTTTGCTGTGGCTGCCTGTGATTTCCCACCAATAACAGCTCCTCTTCCCCAAGTGGTGCCCCGGGAGTGGCTGCTGGAGAACAACGCGCACCTTCTGATCCTCAGCGGGAACAGCATCTGCTTCACATTCATGGCCAGCAAGGCGGTGAACGGCCGGACCCTGGAGCTGGCGCGCCTCGTGGTCTTCCTGGCGCTGGTGAGTGAAAGCCAAGGTTCCACTCGTGGTTCTTGCAGTCAGCGGGGAGGCTGGGGTGCGGGCGGCTGCGGGGGCTTGCCAGGGGGTGCTAGGCCTGGGCCTCGGCACTGCAAAATAAAAGCAGAATGAAATCCACGTAATGAATGCTACTGGGGACTATGCCTTACCTTAATTTCCTCAGACACCACATGGAGCTCAGCATTGCACAGCTTGGCCGGGTTCTCTTTTCCTCATCCGCACTCAGGGATGCATGAGGGCGGAAGCCTGACTTTTCATTTACTCTTTAGCTTTTCAGTTTTATGTCTTCCATTCATAAATCCTCCTTTGATAATCTGAACCCAGCCTTTATTATTTTTTTTTTTTTTACTAAAATTGCACCATTTAAACTGGACGTGGTGGCACACACCTGTAATCCCAGCTCTTGGGAGGCTGAGGCAGGAGGATCACTTCAAATTGAGGCCAGCCTGGGCTATGTAACGAGTTGAAGGCAGCCTGAACTTCTTAGTGAGGCCCTGTCTCAAAATAAATAAACAAATAAATAAGTAAAATCTCATCATTTGAACTCAAAAAAAGGATACTTCACTTCATGCCAAGAGCATCTCCTGCTTAGACCCAGTGAGGGGCTGAGCAGAGTGTTATGTCACCTCAGAGACTGTCATGGGCACGGGCTTCCTCCCAGGTAGGCTGTAGTAATGCCTCTGCGTCTAAACCAGGTGTGTGAGAAAGAGCTCTACTGCATGGACTGGGCAGTGAAGATGATGCAGAGGGTGTGCCAGGTGTTCAGCACCCCGGGGGAGCGAGGGGCCTTCCTGGAGAACGTGGCCAACACATTCGCCTGTGTTACCATGGAGATGCTGCAGGCTGTGATGTCAGGTGAGTGCCAGCGCAGATGGGCCGGGGTGGGAAAGTGATCCCAGCGGCCACTTCAGGCAGTGCGAGCAGGGCCTGTGGTGCACTCTAGTAATCCCAGGACTCAGGAGGCTGAGGCAGGAGGATTGCTGGGAGTTTGAGGCCAGCCTTGGGGCACATAGTAAGACCATATTTCTTTCTTTCTTTTTTTGTCTTTTTCCTTTTAATCGGTGCCAGGGATCAAACTCACGACTGCCTGCTTGTAAGGCAGGTGCTTATGCCACTGAGCTAAATCCCCAGTCCCTAGACCATATTTCAAAACAAAGCAAAAAGAAACAAAAAGAGTGCTAGGTCTGCGTGAAACCTGTTTTTTATCTGTGTGTGTGTGTGTGTGTGTGTGTGACAGGGTTTTGCTATGTAGTGCAGGCTTGCCTTGAGCTCACTTTGTAGCTCAGGCTGGCCTGGAACTCACAGTTATCCTGCCTCAGCCTCCCAAGTGCTGGGATGACAGGCCAGGTTTGTTTTTCCATGACATATTTTTGTCACCAATCTGCAATTGGTTTCATAGAGAATATAAAGTTGAACCGTCGGCTCTAAAAGGAACCAACTGCAATATACCCACAAAAATGTTTGAATGTGTTCACTTACCAACAGTCACAGTATAATATCTGAGATGTATATATTTTTCAAGAAATACTATTTTATAGTTTTATTGGTGGCCTACATGATAATGAGCTCTATTTCTATTTTATTTTATTGAGATGAGGTTTCACGATGTAGTTCAGGGTGGCTTCAGACTCACAGGACCCTCCTGCCTCAGCCTTTAGTGCTGGGCTGGCAGGCCTGCCCACCACTCCCCGGCTTCCTCTGACTGCTACCCCAGCCTTGTCAACGGCTTCCACCTGTTCAGGGCTTAGTGTTGGCCGAGTCCGGGGCGGTACCAGGCAGGCAGGCAGTCCCAGGCTAATGGGAACATCCCGGGCCTGGTCCCTGTCCCGCAGGAGGCCGCGAGGAGGACAACAGAGGCTTCCTGAGCCTGTTCCACCTGGTGCAGGCGCAGGCCGGCTTCCACAAGGAGGTGCTGCGCGCAGCGCTGGAGGTGGCGGCTCCCTGAGCACCACTGCTGCGCGCCCCGCCGCTCCAGCTCGGCTCCTGCTGGTGGAGGCGGAAACGGTGACCCGTGACTGGTGACCCGTGACCGGCGGCGTCCCCGGCCGAGCGGGCTGGGGCGAGCAGCTGAGAAACGCGAGGTGCCGAGCAAGAGCGGGGCCCGGCGCCCATCGTCCACCTTTCGGGGTCCAGCTGTAACCCTGCTGGTGCGAAGAACTTTCCCCACTCTAGCATTTGCAGATTCACGCAGAAGCACAGGCCTTGCTTCTGTCTCGGTTTCATTTTCTTGTGAACTGAAGAATTCGCGCCTCCTGGGGCCTGCGGCCCACCTCTGGGCCGTCAGGGTCCTCAGTGTCTCAGGGTTGCGTGCTGTCTCCTCCCCTTCCCTGTTCTCCCCAGCCGCTCCGAAAAGCCTAATAGATGTGTTTATGGAAGCACCGGTCATTACAGTGATTGTTTTGGAGGGAAAGGAAAAATAAAAAGTTAAAATGTTAATATATTGACTATTTTACAGATTTTACTAAATAGATAGAAAGTCTCATTTTCTTACGGAAAGCAAACTGGCATTAGGAAGTTTCCTTATTCACGGAGCCTCCACAGCCGCGATTTGCCCCAGGTCTGTGGAAGAGGCCGGCTTAATGTACTTCCGTTGTCAGTCTCACCGAGGAGGCCAGGCTGACTATGAACTCACTCACAGCGACCCTCCTGCCTCAGCCTCCCAAGTACTAGGATTCCAGGTGTGTGCCAGCATGCTCGCTGGCTTCACTTAAAACTTCTTTGCTCTGAGTTTCTTTTTCAGGGCTGGGTGTTGAACTTAGGGCCCCATGAGCTCTGTCCACAGCCCCACCTGATGTACATTTGTAATCTTATGCCCTTGAATTGACAGAATTTGCCGGTATAAATTCTTTAAAATTCACATGCTCTGATAATGCTTGAGAATTGTGAGATTATCTTTCTCTTCTCAGAAATTTAGGTAAGGTGCCCGGAGTTTAGCTTAGCGGCCTAAGTGCCTGCTTGACAAATGTGAAGTTGTGAGTTCAATCCCTGGTACCAAAAAAAAAAAGAAACAAAAGAAATTTGGATAAAAAATGTACTGTTTTGTTTTGCGTGTTTGTGGTGCTGGGGACTGAACCCAGGGCCTCACACACAGGGCGAGCACACCATTGCAGGCTACCCCGTCCTGAGCCCTTTGGGCACAGGGGACAAAGGCTTCCATCTAACCGACCCCTGAGGAAGCTGGCAGATTCCTTTTTAACCTTATGGATACAATGGTGACCAAATTTGCATTTTCTACAATTCAATGTCCCACTTTTGCTGAGTGCATTTGTCACAAGGAATAAGGGGTGTCCAGAGTGCCCGTGGGGTTACCGTGCAAGTGCAGGTCTCGCTGACATCAACTGATGTCAGCTGGCATGTGGCAGTCACACCGCCATCAAAAAGTGGTGCGTGCCAGGAACCCACCTCAGAAGCCAGAGCTGCTGCACACGATGGCCCAGACCCCTTAGCCTGTGCCTCGCCCCAACTTTTTTCTCTTTTCTTGTTTTTCCTTCTTGACAGTAGTGGGCATCAAACCCAGGGCCTCACAGTGCCAGGCAAGCACAGGACCACCGCATGACACCCCCAGCCTCAGCCCTTTTTCTAAATCAGCTACGTCTCCATTAGCAGCCTGGGCTTCCAGCGCTGTTTTTCCCAGTACAGTGTTTTTCCCAGCTTGCTTAGAGCTGGGTGTGTGCTTTGCTTTTGAGTTTACTTGAAGGCAAGCTCAGTGACATCATTATTTCATCTTTATCATCATCATCATTATTATTTTGTTTGAGACGTAGTCTCGGTTTTCTTTGGGGGCTGGGAGCTGGATCTGGCCTGCTAGTTCAGGCTGGCCTCAAACTCACTATGTGGGGCCAGGAAAATGGGTCAGTGGCCCAGAGCCTGCGTGGCAAAGGTCCTGAGTTCGGTTCCTAGTACCAAAAATAAAATCCTCACTATGTAACCCAGACTGGCCACAAACTCATGGTCACCCTCCTGCTTCAGCTGTCCAAGTGCTGGGATGACAGATGTGCACCACCATGCCTCGTTGATTACAGATTTTTATGCCAATAAATATTGTAAAGACTTGGTGATATGCTCAGGAGGCTGAGGCAGGAGAATCGCCACAAGTTCAAAGCTAGCCTGGACTACATAGCAAGATTCTGTCAAAAAACCAGAATAAACTAATAAATGTAAAGAGTAGAAACAAGGCACTACAAAAGCTTGACTGGTTACTGGACACCTTAGGAGCGATGTGACTTTTGTGGTCATTCTACCACCAGGTAGCTGGGAAGCCTGGCAGAGCTGGGAAGTCAGGGACAGACATTCCTCAGTTTATTGATGCATCACTAAGTCAGGAAAGATGAGCCGGGCATGGCGGCCCACACCTGTAATCCCAGCAGTCAGGAAGCTGAGGCAGGACGATCCTTGCAAGTTCAGGGCCAGCCTGGGTTCCATAGTGAAGGCCAGCCTGAACTGCACAGTGAGACCCTGTCTGAAAAAGACAAAAAAGACAGGAAAGACAACTTGAAAGCAGCTGACTGGACAGTGTCACCCAGGTTAAAAGCAAAAACCGCAAAGGACTAAGAATACTTTTTTTCAAGAAAATGTAACTCCAGAAATCCATCAAAAACTTGTCCAGCCTTTGAAAGGTCTTAAATTTTAAGAAGGATGCTTGTGGATAGCCTAAGATCATTGCTCTCTCTTTCTTTTTGGTTTACTTTCCTTTATCTTGGTTTATTTTTGTTTGCAAGCTGAGTCCCTCTCCCCTGGCACTGGGCCTCAGGCCCACAGGCCCACACAACACTGTGCTGCTGGTAAATGCCTACCATGCCTCATATTTAACATTTGCTACATTTTATTAATTTATTTAGATTAATAAAATTAACTGAAAACACTTCTAGTTTGTTCAGTTTCTTGTTATGTAAGTCACTGAGCTTCTTGTGGGGGAAATTATTTTCAAACTATTAATTACAGCTCTACCATGATAAAAAAATAAGATTTTGTGTGTGTGTGTTTTGTTTTGTTTTGTCTTGTTTGAGGCAAGGTCATGCTGTGCAGTTCAGGCTGGCTTTGAGCCCAGGCAAGCCTTGGATTCACAGAGATCCTCCTGTCTCAGCCTCCCAAGTGCTGGAATTACAGACATGTGCCCCAACACCTGGCCTCAATGGTCTTTTTTTCATTGGGTGCTGACAGTTAAACCCAGGGCCACCCAATGAAAGGCCCAAAGTCCACTGCCTACCCCGATCAACCACCTTGGTGTAAAATCATGAAATCGACTGCGTATTTATCTCTATGTATACTTATGCTTAACGGCACGGCACATTCAGCTTAAATCATCTGCCTTCCCTGGAAACTGTTCACCAGTGGGACGGTAACGACCAGTAATGTTCTGTGCTCTTTAATTCTGAGACCAAAGCGCCTAGCAGTTAATATTCCACTTGCTGCTAAACTGAACTGCTACAATCACAGTTTAACACAGTTCTAAAGCCAATATGTGCAATCAGGTACTGTGAGTGGCCTGCCTCCTCCCGTAGAGGGTGCTCTCGGCTTCTCTGGCTTGGGGAGTGCTGAAGACCCCGCTGCGGACTGCCCCGCGCATGCGTGCTCAGAGTCCTGCCCCTGCGGTCCGAGTCTGATGGATGGACCCCATCTTTTGTGCTGTATCTCTGAGTAGCCGGGCATGTTTCCTACACAGCCCCCCCAGACGGCCGGGCGTGGCTCCCCGTGCCTTTAATCCTTAGGAGGCTGAGGCAGGAGGTTGCAAAAGTCTGAGTGAAGGGTGCACACTTGAACAAAACTTTGTCTACAAATTTAAAAACATTAAATAAAAAAGGGCTGGGATTTAGCTCAGCGGCACAAGTGCCTGCCTGGCAGATGCAAAGTCGTAAGTTCGATTCCCGGTACAAAAAGCGGGGAGGAGGGCACCTTGGAATGTGGCTTTGTGCAAAGGCCCTGGGTTTCATCCCCAGCACCCTCCCCTCAAAAAAAAAAAAAAAAAAAGGTCACACTAGAGAGAATGAGCAGAAAAGAAACTGTTACTATTAGGAGTTCATTCTGTATGATTTTTTTTTTTCTTCAGACAAGGTCTAACTAAGTAGCCCAGGCTGGCCTCAAACTCACAATGATCCTCCTGCCTCAGCCTTCTGAGACCGGGATTACAGGTGTGCCTCACTACACCCACTTGGAAATTATGTTCTTGATATAGTCTCCAAATATAAAGCATTTTAGGGGCCAGGGATTTAGCTCAGCAGCAAAAGTGTCTGCCTGGCAAGTGTGAGGTCGTGAGTTTGATTCCCGGTACAAAACAAAACAAAACTAAACTAAAACATTTTAGAATTCTAGGGATTTTTTTGTTTTGTTTTGTTTTAGCTTTTTGAGTCAGGTTCTGATTACGAAACTCAGGCTGGCCTTGACCTCACTACGTGGCCTACACTGGCCTCAAGCTCATGGTGATCCTCCTGCCTTAGCCTCCTAAGGATTACAGGCATGCACCACTATGTTTGGCTTCTAAAGTTTTTAAATAGGAAGAGATATTAACAACTTTCTAGTCTAATCCTTATATATGACAATAAACTAAAGCCCTATAGCTTAAGTGACATACAAAAGGTCATATAATTTACTTCCAACAGAATAGTGGTTTTTTTGTTCAGAGTATTTTTTTTTTTTTTTTTTTTTTTTTTTTGTCTTTTTGAGACAAGGGTCTTGCTATGCAATTCAGACTGGCCTTGAGCTCACTTTGTAGCCCAGGCTAGTCTGGAACTCGAAACGATCCTCCTGCCTCAGCCTCCCAAGTGCTGGGATTACAGGTGTGAGCCACCACACCCGGCTTTTTTTTTTTTTTTTTTTTTTTTTGAGATAGGGTCTCACTATGAAGCCCAGGCTGGCCTTGAACTCATGGTGATTCTTCTGCCTCAGCCTCCTGAGTTCCTGAGTGCTGGGATTACAGGTGTGTATCATGAGCCCCGAGACTATTTTTTTTTTTTTCATTTTTATCAGTACCAGGGATCTAACTCACGACCACCTGCTTGCAAGGCAGGTGCTTATGCCACTGAGCTAAATCCCCAGCCCCGCCCCGAGACTATTAAACAGTCCAGGGTCTGTCTTTATTACCCAGGATGGACCTGAACTCCTGGTCTCAAGTGATCCTCCTGCCTCAGCCTCCTAAGTAGCTGGTACAACAGGCATATACCACCATGCTCAGGACTTTAATATGCAAGATTTCCATTTTAATTGTGGCATATACTTCAATTTTATTTGTTTTTAAAATATAACAACACAGTATTATTACAAAAAAAACCTCATCTTTCTCCTTGTCTATATTTAAGCTAGAAAAGAAAGTCAAACAATTATGACAAACTTTTCAAAGGAACAGATACCACAATATCCTAAATAGGTAGTTTCCAGAAATATATAATTTCCTTAACCTTAATTGGACAGTGAAATACTTTGGCAGATTTTTTTCCCCAGAAAAAAACATTTGAAAACAAAATAAAATTAAAAATTTTTCCACTCACTTTGGGGTGAGAGATTTTTTCTTAAATCAGCGTGGCCATGTTATGTGGATAATTTGTTTTTTCCTCCCTTTCCTGTGACGGGGACCAACCCGGGGCCGCGGGGCTCCACCCCGAGTCCCTAACCGGCCACGTGGAGGTGCAGATCCCGACAGCTGCGGGGGCCCTGGGGACGCGCTGGTGGTGCGGCCTCCGACCTCCAGTTTCCTCCCTCGGTGGGGGAGGAGCCGGCGTCCCCGTCCCCGTCGCACCAGGGCCGCTGGCCACGGCAGGGCAGGTCCGTCAGGCGCTGGGCGAAGTCGGCGGCCTGGGGGCCCTGGAGCGCGCGCTGCGGGAAAACCGCAAACAGGTCAGCCGGCGCCGTCCCCGGCCCGGGGAGGACCTGGGGCTCCCCCTCCGCTTCCCCACCCCAGGACACCTCCATCTCACCCCCTGGAAATGAGTTCGCTCCTGCAACCCCACCCTGCCGACACCGCTGCAAACCTCCCCGCTGCCAAGAAATGTGTTTTACCTGTAGTGGCCCGCAGACAGCCCGCCGCTCACCCAAACCGGACGGTGACCTTCGCTTTCCGCCCAGCGGGAGTCTCTGCACCCCATGCTCCTGACTGCCCTGGGCTGGTAGGTTTCCTTTCCACTGGAAAAATCCTGTTTTAAATTAGGTCCCCAAGGAAGAGGCCTGCATGTCTTCTTCTCTTCTGAAGAGTCCAAGAATTGTGCAGGAGAAATGCACAGGATTGCACGCCCCGCTTCACCTGGCTTCCGAATCAGCACCCCACTAACGGCCAGGAGCCAAAATCTGCCGGCGCCAACAGCCAGGGGGAGCTCGGCCCTGAGGGCCCATCCTTCCCGCCCCGGGCCCTAGAGCAGGTAGATGATGTAGGAGAGAACGACCAGGCCTATGATGGCGAAGAACATCAGGATAAAAACATCCAGCATGATGCGTGCCCAGACCCTGGGGGCCCTGGATCCGGGGAAGCAGGCGCCGGAGGAGAGGCCGCCGTGGCTACCGGGGTGGTTCCTCTTCCCCTACGCAGGCAGAGCGAGGATGCTGCTTCGCATCCTGCATCCGCGCCCCGCCCACAGCCCCGTCCACCAATCACGAAGCGGCGGTGGTAACCAGGGCGCTGCGGCTTTGGACCAGGCAGGACCAGGCCGCCTCGCCGCGGCGCGGAGATGCGCTCTGCATCTTGATGCCTGGCCTCTGCAGGTCCCCCTGTGCACAGGTTCTCCCGCCTGTTTTTCTCCTTCCCTTGTCCTCTCTTTGACTCTCTCTGGGAAACTATATCAGAAAATAATGGCTGGCAGCTGGGTGGGCCATTGGCAAAATGTGAAGGTCGTATCCGGGGTGACTGGGGCCATGGTCTCGCAGGTGGCATCGGTGTTTGCAGGGTGCTGCATTGTCTGCCAGGAGCCGTGCATGCAGGGGCCTCCCCTAATGCTTTGCAGCTTAGCTGGATCCAGCTCAGCACACTGACTCCCATCCGGTCCCAGGGCACCGAGCGTCTGGAGCACAGATCCAAGCGGTCTCTTTTGAGGGAAAACCAACTAATGTCTCTTCAAGACTCGGTGATGTCCTTCGCGGCTTGTGCCTTTTATACCTTTTGATTATTCCCTATTACATTTCCCTGGCACTTCTGAGGTCTGGCCTCACCCCCAAACAGCTGTTTCTTTTTTTTTTTTTTTTTTTTTTTTTGTCCTTTTCCTTTTTATCGGTACCAGGGATCGAACTTACGACTGCCTGCTTTTCTTTTTTTTTTTTCCTTTTTTTGGTCTTTTTCCTTTTTATTGGTACCGGGGATTGAACTCACGACTGCTTGCTTTTCAAGGCAGGCACTTATGCAGCTGAGCTAAATCCCCAGCCACTTGTTTTGTTTTTGAGACAGGGTCTTGCTATGTAGTTCAGGTAGGCACTGAATTCCGGCGATCCTCCTGTCTCAGCCTTCTCAGTGCAGCTGTGTCCCACCACATGGAGACTCCAAAGAGCATGAGCCTGGCTTACTACAGCAGAAAACCCCCATGTCCCTGCCGCCAAGCTGGGCCTTAGGAGCCCAGGCCACTTCCCAAAGCAGGTGGGGAACTCCTTCCACTGGCCCAAGTGTCCCTAGGAGGCACAGATTGAAGCTCTGGGACAGTGGGTGGAGGTGGCACTGGCACCGATGTCCTCCAAAGGCCTCTACCTCTTCCAGCCCTCAGAAGGAGGCCTCAAGAGGCAGGGTGCCAAGTGTCCCTCTTCCCGGGGCATAGCAGGCAGCCAGCTCCTGGGGGTTCCTCTGGGTGGGTAGGGTCTGTGCCACCCCAGTTCTCCCTCCCTGGCATTCTCAGCTCAGCTCAAGGAAGCCCCTTCTCTCTGCCCCTTGCATGCAGCAGAGACCAGAGAGATGGAGAAGAAATGTCCCTTCCCAAGGCAGTGGGCCTAGGGGCTGGGGTCCCAGCACCACCACCATCCTTGCCGGGGCTGTCATGGGCTGTGGACACCTGGAGCCATGCAAAGCACAGGTGACTCCTAGAGGGTGGCACGAGGAGTGCGTCGGTCAGTGACCCCAGAGAGCATGACAGTCACACTGGGCCAAGGCTTGCTACTTCGACCGAGCTGAAGCAGCCACTTCCATCATGGGGCTGTGAGGGAGATGGCAGGATAATGTTATGCATGGTGAGAGGAAGCACTCGGGAGGCTGAAGCAGGAGGATTGCCAGAGTTCAAGGTCCACCTGGACTACACAGTGAATTTAAGGTCAGCCTGGACTGCACAGTGACACTCTGCCTCCCGAACAAAATGCAAAGGTCACATTGCCAAGGTAGCCTTGGGTGCCAGATTAAGGGCTGACCTAGGCCCTGTCACTTCATCCCCTAAACACACAGAGCTCCTGCCCTCCACCCGCAGGGGCAAGGACAGGGACAGTTCTCTCAGCCATGGACAGGTGACAGGGAGCCACAGATGACCTCAGCTGCCACCTGTGAAACATACTGGTCACCGCGCAGGCAGCTTACGGCTAAGGAAGCTTTCAAGCTTGGGGAGCACCAGTCACCTCTGTGTTACCCGGTGGGGCAGGTAGGGATGGTGACAGAGTCCTGACCTGGTCTGGGGAGAAGACAGGTTCTCAGGAAGGAGCGGATGGGGCTGGGGCAGAGGTACCAGTCCCCTTGCTTCTAAACTGGCTTCTCTCTCTGTGGGCCTCCAGGGGGTGACAAGCCCAGGTTCCCAAGAGGACAGAAAACACCCCACAGCAGCACCCAGAGCCACTGAGGAAACCAAGTCCGCAGGTAAAAATTAGGCTTTTATTTGAATCACCAGGAGAAAGATTCACTTGTGGTTCAAGTCAAATGTTCAAAATCCTAACAGGCCTGAAAGACCAGACTTGGGGCACAAGCCCACGAGGGAGGGGACCAGACAGACCGGGAAGAGGACAACCCCATGGAGGACAGGCGGACGCTGCACACACACACACAGATGAAATGCCTGGACAGAGGCGAATCTCACAGGGTCACTGGTTTCTTTTTAAATACAGGCTCGTGGGGAGGGGCTTTTTTTTTTCCAGCTATTAAAAAAAAAAGGGAAAGAAGGCCCAAAAGTGCATGATGTAAAAGAAAGGCAGAAACGAAGCGCTAAGTTCTCCCTGGAGGGATGTGAGCGGGGAAACCAGGAGACGCCGTGGGGAAGAGCCCACGGGTGTCACCACGGGGGATTAGTCCCGAAAGTCATGGTCACATTCTAGCTCCAGGCCTCTTTGGCCATGTGACGAGTGGCTCACAGAGCTCCGTCCCAGAGACCAGGGCTCTGCCCAGCCTGCGATTCCATGCCCAGGGTGGACGGTTCCAGGAAGGGCCCTGGATCCCTCAGCACCAGCCAGTGACGGTCCCTCTATTTGCGGGCGCACACGTCCCCTTCTTAGGGCAGGAAACAGGGCAGCTGCTCCTCTTGACGAGGAGGGGAAGGCTGGAATTCGCCAGCCCCTCTGGTCCTTCGGAAGGGCAGTGTCTCCACCCCTACCCCAAGTCCTGTGTCTAGGACCTCTGGTCCCCAAATCCACGTTGTGCTTTGAGATCAAGACGAAATGGAATGGATCAGCATTTCCCCTTTGTCCCCCAAAACTGCCTAAAATGACGGCCCCTGCCCCAACATGGGCTAGGAGCCAGGAGCAAGATGGTTTCCTCAAACTCGGGTGACTTTTCCCAAATCAGTGAGCAAACCCCACCCCCATGCAGAGCCCCAGGGTGACACCAGCTGCTCACCTTGGGATATAGGCCTGCAGGGGTGGGGAAGGCTGAGCATGAGGGGGCCTGCATGGGGTCCCCAGCACCATGTGCCAGCTGTGGTGGGACTCAGGGGACTCGAGATGAACGAAGCCAGGCCATGAGTGTCCCGGCCCAGGTGCAGAGAAGACTCAGGGTAGCACCATCCTCCCGCCTCTCCAGAAACCTGCTTCCAGGTTGGGGGGGGGGAGCCTGGGCCCCACTTTGCTACATAGGAGGCTGGAAGGGTGGGGTGGGGGTAGGGTTGGTCCAAGGTGCCACCAGCATGGGTGACTCGGGTCCTTCTGGGCCAGGAAGAGGACACACCTATGGCCAGGATGGCCTTCTCCCTGCCCGGTGCCTACAGAGGGGCACCACTGACTCTGCCCCCCATGACATCTTGGAGACACTCAGGTCCCTGGTGGCTCCTGACATGTCTGGGTCCTCGTGGCACTGGGCAGGGGAGGGGTTGGGAGAAGAGGTCAGAGGAGTCCCCCAGGATTGGGGACGGGTGGGAGGACAAGGCTGTGGGGGTAGCACAACCCCCAGCCTTCCTGCAGCTGCCCCTAAGACTTGACCTGGAGCTCTCTGTCCCCCTCCCAAGGCAGCCGGGCAACTCTCCAGGGCAGCAGGAAGACACCTGGGGGCACCAGTGCACCCTGGGGCAGACACCCCACCTTCCCATGGCCCAGGGTGGTGGAGAGCAGGGAGGGTGCGCCCTGGCTCGTCAGCAGCCCCTTGGGGACAAAGGGAGGGGCTGCCCACCTGGGGTCCCCACCAGGAATGCACAGAGAGCACCTGGGGGCCCAGGACAGCAGAGGCCATCTCAATCTCAGGTGGCACAGTCCCAGCCCTGCTTTCATCCAGAGAGAAAACCAAGAGGTGGGTGGAGGGGAACTGGCCAGAGAGGGCGCCCTCGAGCGGCAGAATGAGGCCAAAGCAGCTGGAGGAGGTGGGGACACACAGGGCAGTGCAGACCTTAGAAGACAGAAGAGCACACGAGGACACAGCGGACCCCGCCAGGGGACGCAGACTGGCTGCGCGGAGGGCCGGGGGCACAGGGGCTCAGATGGCCTCCACGTAGTTGGCTGGCAGCATCCCCGTGTCACCCGTGCGCTCCACGGTCCCATACATCCAGCCATCGTCGATCTGCTGCACGTTGACGATGGTGTCCCCGTCCTGGAAGGAGACCTCGTCCTCGTCGGCAGCACTGTAGTCATACACGGCCCGGTACCGCTTCTGGAGGGACGGGGGGACGGGATAGTCACACAGGGCCCCATGTGGTGCTGGGGACCGAGTCTGGTCCCAGTTGGCCTCTAAGTGATGCTCGTGGGCTCCAGAGCTGGGCTCAGCTGTGAACCTGCTCAGGTCTCCAGGCTTAACTTTTGGGGAAAGAACGTGAGTCCTCTAAGGGTCAGATGGGGGACAGAAATGTTGAGGGCATAACCCGCTCCACCGGCCTCAGCAGGGACGCCAGGCCATGTTTAAATATCTCTCGTGCTCTGTTTGCTGCTACGGGGATGGTTGCAAGCATCAGTTTTCTTTTGTTTTGTTTTCTCAGACAAGATCTTACTATGTAGTGCAGGCTGGCCTTGAACTCGAGATCCTCCTGTCTCAGCCTCCCGGGTGCTGGGATTGCAGGCATGTACCACCACGCCCAGTAAATGTCATACTTTGACCCTGCTGCTACTGGTTACCCTTCAGGGCCTGATGCTGGGGCAGAGGAACAGCTGCCGAGGAGCTGGAGGTCACCTGGACCCTCAGCCTGTCCCCAGCACCTGTATAGCACTGTGTGTGTCCAGAGCAGGAATCCCTGGGGCCGCTAATGGCAGCTGCTCACCCCCCCCAGGACCTGTCCTCTCCTACCCTGGCACAGTGGTGGCTTAGCTACTCCTGCTGGGGCTGCTGAGTCCCAACCTGGCCAAATTCCCAGGGTCCCAGGACCAAGGGTGCCACTCTTCAGAAGCCCCCAGGGTGCCAGCAAGCAAAGAAACTTGAAGGTAGAGAAAGGGAGCCAGGCATGGCAGCACATGCCTGTGATCCCCACACTGGGAGGCTGAGGCAGGAAGATTGCAAGTTCACATCTCAAAAGGGAGATGACCATCACTCAGTGCAAAGGCCCTGGGGATGCTACATGCTTGTCATCCCAGCACTTGGGAGGCTGAGGCAGGAGGATCCTTGCAAATTCAACACCAACCCTGCTACAAAGTGAGCTCAAGGCCAGCCTGAGCTGCATAGCCAGACCCTAACTCAAAATGATAAAAAAAATAAAGAAAGAAAGAAAGAAAAGAAAAGGAAAGAAAACCCAGGAAGAGCCCACACAGAAAGGGGCCTGTGTGGCCCTGGTATCAGAGCAGGGACTGATCCCAAGGTCGCAGTCCCCAGGACTAGTTCTGCCAACTTGTGAGGCCCAGACCTGCTCCCCACACAGACTGGGGTATCCTGGAGCGGAGTCACAGGAGGTGTACTCCAAACCCCCTCTCCTCCCACCCGACCGAGCCCTCCCCCACTCACCCCACCCCCGCCTGGGGTGCTGCGCTGTACAGAGCCGGGGGCCACAGGGGCCACGTAGGACGGGGTCACCTGCTGCTGCTGCTGCTGTGGCTGCGGCTGCTGGTAAACTGGAGGGAACAGGGGGGTTCAGGGTTCACAATATGCCAAGCTCCCCACAAGGCCAGTGTCATGCCAAGGTTGCCCACCCCCCACTCAGTCCCAGTCACCCGTACACATACGTCCATGTCAGGGGACCATCCCACCCCACCCCCGCCCCGCAGGGGCTGTATGGCCCCCACACCCACCGGGGGCACTGGTCGGGATGTGGTGGGGCTGCTGCTCTGGGGGCCGCCTGTAGGTGCCGCTGTCCTGTGCGTCCCTGCGGTCAGGCTCCACACCTTCGCCGCCGCTGGGGCCCATGCGGCTCTTCTCGAACTCCTCGTGGTACTTTATCTGCAGGGCAGGAGGCTGAGTCAAGATCCATTCCACAGCAGAGCAGCCAAGACCCTCCTGTGGCCTCTCAAGACCCTGGGTTATGCCTGGCAAGCATGAGGTCCTGAGTTCAAGTCTCAGTACAAAAAAAAAAACTACAGAGCCTGAGATGGAGGCTACTATTCTAGAGGCTGAGGTAGGAGTATTCCAAGTTTGTGCCCAGCCCTGGCAATTTACCGAGACTCTGTCCAGAAACAAGAAATGGGTAATCCCCGGACTGCAAAAAATAAAATAAAAGGAGGCTCTCGGGGTGCAAGGGACTCCAAGGACCCTGCTATGTGGCTCTGCTTCAGTCCCCAACCCTCATCCCCAATGTAGCGGGAGGGATGACAGCCATCACAGGGCCCTGAGGTCAGCCGTCATTTGCGTAAGCCCACAGCAGGAATTGGGGTATCCCTGCCTCCCTCCTCACCCCAACCATGGCTATGGCACCAGGCTGCAAGCTTAGCTGGAGCCAAGCATTTGGGTCCCAGGCTGCTCAGGATCTGCCTGTGCCTGAGCCCTCTGCCAGGAGATGATTGCAGACCTCTTTGTTTTGGGGTTTGCTTTCTATGTATGTGGCTCAGGTGAGCCTTGAACTCAGGCTGGCCACAAACAACACAAGCATGAGATAAATGAGACGTGGGAGCCCCAAGATTCCTTCCCTGTAGCTTCAAGGCACAGACGTCCACACGCACCACCACCCCCAGCAGAGTAGGGAGGAGGGAGGGAGTAGCGGAGGAGGGTGTAGGACAGACAGACAGGCTGAATGGCTTCCCCAGGGGGCCCTCAGGGTGGCCACTGGCTTGAGGAGGCGGAGGAAGCTGCCAGCCCTGCCCACTGCCCACTGGCTGGGGCCCCATCACTTCCCGATCCCCACCCTGCGCTTCCCTAGAACACAGCGATCGGCGGACAGGGAAGGACACAGGGAAGGACGCAGGCCCGGCCTACTGTTTCCTGGAGGGAAGGAAGGGGCCAGCTGAACACAGAGCCAGGGGCACAGGGGCAGGAGGAGAGTGGGTCCTTTAGGGGCACCGGTCAGTGCTCATCCTTTCTCTGTCCCTTCCCTGGGGGCCAGATCAGCTGAGCCCACCCTGACAGACGCAGCCAGCCTGGGGCAGACAAAAACTGAGCGAGATCTCAGTCCCGACTTAGGAGGTGTCACAGGCAGGCTTAAGGTGCTGGTCCCAGGACCCCTCCTCCCTCCTCTGTCCTGGGGTGGGCAAGGGCTCTGGCTTGTTTACTTTATTAACGAAAAGGCCAAGGCCAAGAGGGGGCAGGAGCATGGGACAGAGCAGAGGGACAGCGACAGGGTCTGGCCTGAGCCCTAAGTGTACCCAGAGGTGGCAGCAGGGACAGATGTCCTGTGCTTGGGCTGAGCGCGGCTCTGGATGAGGGGCGGCAGGGAAGCCTAGGAACAGTGCCTTCAGGCTGAGGCCCGAGTGACTGAGGGGCCAAGGCCTGGCACTGCCCCTCATGCCCTGCAGACTCATCCTTCCCTGTGGACCGCCCATGCCTCACCCCAGGGGCCAGAACCCAGCCACTGCCTCTCAGGGCTTTAGGAGAGCGCCTTGCCCTAGTAGGCCTCCATGAGACCATGCTGTCACCTACTCCCAAGGTGACCCCGGACACCTGCCAGCCCTGGAAAGCGTGGATGTGAGCAGATTTGCTTGGCAGTGTATGCCAGCCATCCCAGCAGCACTCAGGAGGCTGAGGCAGGAGGAATGCTGTGAGTTGCAGACCAGCCTGTACTACATAGCAAGGACCCTGTCACAAAAAGCAAAAAACAACAGAAAAGGGCCCTGAGCTGCAATCTTCTGGGAGCCCTGCAAGGGGGTGGCCAGGGCCCAGGCTGCCTTGTACACCCTGCATCCTAAGGACGCATCGAGGATTCTCCCTGCCCAGCCAATCCATCCAGGCCAGGGCTCTAGGGTGACTGGGTGACACTGATGCTCCTCCTCTGACGCCTCTGCTTCTGACTGTGGTGGAAAGAAGAGCGGGACTCACCCGCCACACGGCCAAGCTATGGGGGCCACGCGAGCCAAGGGGTCAGTGCTCAGGCGGGGGCAGAGTACCAGCTCACAGGCACAGGTCATGCGTTTCTGGGGAGGGGGGGACCAGGAATTGAACTCAGGACCTCACACCTGCCAGGTAGGCGCTGTGCCACCAAGCTGCATCCCCACTCCAGGCTGTGCTCTACACCGCCTCCTAGCTCAGGCACTGTGGATTTGGTCTTTCTCAGCAAGGCCCTGGGGAGAGCAAGGCTTGAGGGGGTGCAGCGGGACAGCACAGACACATGCTGTCACCCACCATGGGATGTCACCCACCATGGGACACTGCCCTCTGGAGACTCACAGTCCATTACTTTTAAAACACAAAACTCTGGTGGGCGTGATGGCGTTCTCCTGTCATCCCAGCACCCAGGAGGCTGAGGCAGGAGGACCCCATGAGTTCAAGGCCAGCCTGAACCACAGTGAAACCCTGCCTTAAAAAACCAAAACCAGGGGCTGGGGATTTAGCTCAGCGGCATAAGCGCCTGCCTTGAAAGCAGGCAGTCGTGAGTTCGATCCCTGGTACCTATAAAAAGGAAAAAGACAAAAAAAAAAAAACCAAAACCAAAAAACAGGCAAACTGGCAAACCTGCAGCAAGGTTGCTCGGGGCACCGGACACTGGGCAGAATCTCAAGCACCCTAACCCATGTCCAGAAAGGCGGCCGCCAGCCCTATGTGTGGCTCTGGAAACTGAACCCAGGGCCTCGCACATGCTAGTTCTGCCACTGAGCTATGGCCCGAACCCTTTACTGTTATAGTAGTAGTTATAGTAGCAGTATATGTGTTTTTAATTTTCTGAGAGGTTTGCTATGTGATTCAACCTGACTTCAAACTCACGGCAATCCTCTTGCCTCAGCCTCCTACGTGCTGAGATTATAGCTGAGCTACCAGGTCCAGCTTCAGCCAGTTCTGAGTACAGTCTGAGTTCCCTCAGGCCCCGGGGACATGGCCAGCTGGGGACTTCTGACTCAAGGACAGCAAAGGGCACCACAGTGACCTGAGTGTTTTCCATGAGTCCCTGGCTGCTGCTTGGTGCCACAGACAGACTTGGCTGTGTGCTTGGAGACACGGCCTTCCAGCCCCAAGATCACCCAGGATGCCCAGCTGGGCGTGGCATGGCCTGCAGTCGCTGCTGTAATGGTCACCTCACTGCCATTGGTGTGGACGCCTAGCCCCTGTGAGCTCTGCAGCTCCAATGCCCCAGACAGCAATAGCTCCTACCCAGGGAGGGGGAGGGAAGCAGGGATGGCCCTGCCACAAAGCTCGCCCCCGGGCCCTCGTGCTCATCTGGAAGCTTCTTTCTTTGCAGCACTGGGGCTGGAAGCCACCCCAGCCCTCAGCCCAAGCCGATGAGCACATGGCGGCCCCCTCTGCAGGCAGCAGCGCCCTCTCCCACATGCCCAGTCGCCCAGAGCCAGCCAGGTTGCTGTCTCTGTCCCTTGCGTCTGTGGGGACCTCGAGTCACAGCCACCCACACGGGAGCACTGGGCCTGGGGTGTGGTGAAGCCATTGGGCTGTTACACAGGAAGGAAGCACTCAGGGAGGGAGGCGGCCAGGCGGAAACCCCCAACATGTCGGCAGCACCCAGGGCAGTGGGTATCGGGGTCTGGAGAGCAAGAAGGGCACTGATTCCACCCTGCACAGCCAACAGATGCCAGGCAGCCTCGACCCTGCCCTGCCCTCTCAAGCTGGGTAGCAGGGGCGGGGGCTCACGTTGCTGATCTGGTCCTGGGTCTTCTTGATTCTCTGGAGCTCGGGGGTGTCCGCCACCACGCTGAAGCCTTTGCCCTTATTCTTCTCGAACTCTTCCTTGTAGCGCACCTGGGGAAGAAGAGGGACCAGGGTCAGGGGTGAGGGAAAGACGCCCTGGGCACAGGAACCCACCAGAGGATAAATTTCTTGGAGGGAAGTGTCCGGCACTGCCAGGCACTATGGGACAAGAATGTAATCCCAGCACTCAGGAGGCTGAGGCAGGAGGATCGCTGCAAGTTCCAAGTTAGCTTGGGCTACATCATGAGACCCTGGCTCAAAACAACAAAATAAACCCTTCACACTCGCCCAGCACGGTGTCATGTTCCTAGGAGTGATGTCATTTGCACACGCACAACACTGGCCCCATTTCACAGAGAAGAAAACTGAGCTACCCAGAGGCAGAGTCCCCCATACGAAGTCACACTGCCTCACAGTCAATGCCCAGAGTCCCAGGACGAGAAGCACAGCAGCCCGACACCTGTCTCACAGGACCCTCAAGCGGAAGCCCAAGGCAGAGGTCCACCCCACCAGGACTGGGGTGGCGCTGCACACCGAGCACGTGGGGGTTTCTAGGGAGCAGCTGAGGGAAGAACGCGCCAAAAGACAAAGTCAGTGCCCGGAAGGGCAGTGGGACGGGGCCGAAGCAAAGGCTGATCAACGAGCCTTTGAGGGCCCAGGCTTCCTGGAGCCAGACTGGCTTCCAAGGCCATTGCCACCGGAAGGAAGGGGAGGAGAGGGGAGGGCTAAGTGGGTGAGGACAGGGGACAGAGGGGCCAAGATGGGGATCTACCAACCTGCTGCCCAGCCGCCCAATTGCCTGAGAATCCTATGGACAACTCAAGCGTGAGACCCCAAGCTGCAGGGAGAGAAGTGAGGGCCAGCTCCACCTCCCTGGGCCTCTGAGAACGGCAGGGGGGCTGGGTGCCTTCCAGAGGTTCTCCAGCCACCTCGGAAGCCAGCTGTTCCAGGCCAGCAGCTGCCTGTGCTTCCTCTTGGGGCTGCTGTCCTGAGTCAGGTCAGCCCAGGACACGAGGCCCCGGTGCATCCGGGATGACAGGCCCAGGCTGTTCCCAGCCAGGGAGCTCCTCGGCCCCCAGGCCCCACTCTGCACCCTGACCTGACCTGACTCCAGCATAAGCCACACCTGTGAGAGTCTACACAATTCCCTGCATGTGGCATAGGCTGTGATCCTAGCTATCAGGAAGCTGAGGCAGGAGGGTCACAAATTCGAACCCGGCTTGGAAAGATCTTGTCTCAAAAAAAAAAAAAAGCCTGTGCTGGGGGTGTGGCTCAGTTCCCATAAGACGGGAAGTCTGAGGAGCAGGGCACAGGGCCCACCTGAGTTTCCTACTTGCTGCAGACCTTGGGTCACAGCCTCAAGGCTTAGGCGCCGCATATATACAATGGGGACACCAAGGACCAGGCATTAGGCCCTGACACAGACCGGGCTCCATAGGGCCACACCCAGTGAGGGAAGGAGGCTATGAAAGCCCTGTCCCCGGCAGGCAGAGCTGATCCAGTGCCAGGCCCACTCCCTCCTCTGTTTCCTGGCTTTGCTAGGGTCAGGCCCTCATCCAGGGGGAACCATCGCCATGGCAACGAAGTGACATCAGCTGGTTCCCAGGCCCCAGCTGCCTCCCTCCTGGCCAGGAAGAGGGATTCATTTCACTCTGAATGCAGGCCTGAGAGGGTGGGCGCGCTGGGTCACTGCAGTGTGACACCGAGCAAGCCACTTCCCCTCTCCAGATGGCCTATGGAGAACGGTGAGCTGACCTCTCAATGCCTCCCACTCTAAACTGGGCGTGGTGGCACCCACTGTAATCCCAGCACCCAGGAGGCTGAGGCAGGAGGATTGCATGACTTCGAGGCCAGCCTGGGCTATGTCTGGCTAGATACCATCTCAAAACAAGAAAGTCCCTTGCCCTGGAGCTGGTGGCCATTACTAAGCAAGCACCCTTATGCTATACCCAGAAAGGCAAGTGGGAAAAACTCAAGAGGCTTCCAAGGCCGCAAGGGGTGGCAGGCAGCCAGGGCAAGGCCCAGAGCATGCAGGGGTGGCCTGAGTTCCCCACAAGGTGATCCCCATTGCCCAAGTGGCAATGCCTGCCCACTGCTGGACAGATCACTGGGGCTCGGTCACTCAACCCAGATGTCTGTGGGGGCAGAGCACCACTCAGCACTTTGGCAGGAAGTCGCTACCCCAGGGCTTTGGCCAGCCTCCCACCCTGGAAACGCCCAGGGCGGGGCCGGCCTATCAACTGGGGCTACTGCCGCCCTCTCGGCCTTGGCTGTGAAATTCTGCTTTTGGTGTGTAGGTCGTCAGCACTGTCCTGTTCAATGGCTACAAGCAAACAGGGCAGCGTGGTTTGGAAAACTGCTCTGAGGATCTAGTGTTTAAAAAGTGTTGCACTGGGCAGGAGCCCTGGGTTCAATGCCCCTCCCTGCCCAGAAGATGAAGAGAAGGTCACTTAATCGGACTGGGCAAAGCACAGCACTAGCCATTTCTACCTAGAGCCAGGGCCACACCAAGTAACCTGCCCCCTTCTATCTGAAAGGCAAATGACAGCCGGGGGTGGCAGCGCATGCCTGGAATCCTGGCACTCAGGAGGCTGAGGCAGGAGGATTGTTAAGAGTTCTAAACCATCCTGAGTTACACAGTGAGTTCCAGGCCAGCCTGAACTGTACAGAGAGACCTTGTCTCAAAAAGACCAAAAACAAAAAAAAAAAAGCAAACGTTTTTTGAGTTAGCACCATGCAGAGGCAGCACAGAGCTAATGAGAAAGACCAGGGCTGGAAACAGGGTTAAAAGTCTCTGTGTCCATTCCCTGTCCCTTCAAGAACATTAAAGGGGCATTTATGGGTGCTGGCTCATGCCAGGTGCAGCCAGGTGCCCCCAGAGGGCCACCTTAGTACAGTAACCACAACTCACACACAAAGCACGGTGGCACAGGACAATTCAGTCACCCGGCCGAGGTCATCATGCAGCTGAGTGACATTTAGCCTGCCGTGCTGCCTGCCCTGCAGGCCACAAGACCAAAGGGCACGGTGCTCAAGGCACTGAGGGTGCCCTCTCTCCTGCAGGGCCAGCAGGTGCCCATAAAGCAGAAACGAGAGAGACCTTCCTGAGACAACTGCCTGGCCCAGCTCAGCCCACTCAGCCCCGCTGGTCCCCTCAGCCTGGGGGTGGAGGGCAGGAGCTCACAGCCGCTTGTCTGCAGGATAGAGCGCGACAGTTCTGCGGTGTCCTCCTCCCAGGGAAAACCACAGGTGTCCCAGACACCTAAAGTGCTACTTTGGGGACCGATATAGCAACAGGAAGACAAATGCAGTAGAAATAGCACAGGCAGCTTCCCGGGCAGGGATGGAGAGGGCTGTGGTGGCGCAGGCGTGGGGCACAAGGCGGCTCCCACTTCCTTTCCTGCCAGCCCAGCTCCACCACCACCACCACACAGGGCCACAGGAACCAGGACCTGTCCCTGCCCCGGCCACAGGCCCCCCAGCCTCAGAGAGCAGCCATTGTGGGCAGAGGAGAAAGAGGGAGCCAGGAGGGGCCTCAGATCACACAGTTGGCAGGAGGAGCGACAGGGTCCTGCCCTCTCCACCCTGCCTGGCCTGGCTCCCTCCTGCCCACTTCAGAACCACTGGGGCTCAAAATGCAGGTCCTGGGCCACACCCGGAGCCCCACGGGGGCCTGGGAATCTGCATCCTCATAACCCCTGGCACCTGCTGGGTGCCCATGCTGGCCATGTCCAGCAGACCAGCAAGCAGCTTCTCCCACGCTCAGTGTCCCCATCCGTGCAGCAGGATAAAAGCCTCTTCCCCAGAGGGCCATGAAGGGTAAGTGACTGATGTCAGAGACACTTCTACACGGACACCCTTGGCCTCCTCGGACGCCCATTCCCCTGCCTCTCCCGGGGACCTGGTCTGCCTGAGTTTAGGTTACCGCCCACACCTGGGATCAAAAGACCAGAGCCCTCACTGTGTCACCAGGCAAAGCCCCAGCCCTGCCAGCCTCAGTCCCCAAGCTGGGACATGGAAGGGACAGGTTTCCCCCACTGCCAAAGGGGAGGAAGAGGGAAACACTTCCGGGCTAGCAGCGTCAGGGCCACCATAGCTCAGATGGGAGGCCGGAAGGGACCTGTCCCTGCATGGAGCCAACCTCAAAACATGAGTGCCACCTGTTCCTTCCATGCAGTGGAGGGTTTAGGGAGCCCAGAGTGGGGAGCGAGGAGCCCCAGGATTACAGTCTTAACACTGGGCTCACCTGTGCTGCAACCTGATCTTACTGGCCCTGCCCTGATCTCTCCTTCTCCTTCTGGTACTAGAGATTGAATTCAGGGCTATATTTACTTAATTTTTTTGAGATAGGCAGGGTCTCACTTTGCAATTCAAACTGGCCTTGAACTCACTATGTAGGCCAGGCGGGCCTCAAACACATTGCAATTCGCCTGCCTAAGCTTCCAGGGTACTGGGATCACAGCTGTATGCCACCACATGCAGCTTCTATTTTTTATTTTGGGACAGGATCTCACAAAGTAGCAAGTCATTAAATTGCCCACGCTGAGCTGGAACTTGAGATCCTTCTGCCTCAGCCTCCGGAGTACTATGATAACAGGCGTGCGCCACCTCAACTAGGCAGACCACTGGCTTCTTGCTCAGGCTCTCTTAACCAGGATGCACCCTCCCCACACCACGGGGCTCAGGAAAGCCAGACCCCTGTGCACCTGCCCTCCAAGGTTAGAGAAGATCTGGGGTTGCTATGGGAAGAGGGCGTGCAGTCTCAGACCAGTGGATAGGTCTAAGCAGAGCCACTTCCTGGAGGAGCCAGGCTTTTATTTGGGGGGGAGGGGGCCGGGCCAGAGACAATCCAACACACACCTCTCCAGGAAGCAGGGCCCGGCTTGGCCGCACAGAGGCCAGGAAGTGTGAGGCAAGATGTGGGGGCGGGGACGAAGCAGGATTGCAGTGCCTCAGTGCCGAGGCTGACCACAAGGGAAGCAGCCCTGCTGCCCGGTCCACCCACACCTTCCCTACCTGGCTCTGAAGCTCACTCTGCTGCTTGAGGCGAAGGTTTTCCGGGGTGTCGGCCACCATGGTGAAGGACTGCTTGGGGTAGTGTCTGTGGGACAAAACAGAGGACTTGTCACTCCGGCAGCCAATTCTGCTTCACCTTGGGCAGCCCCAGGACCCTGCGGCCACTGCCTGTCCCTACACTTAGGACAGTTCACCTCACACTGGGTCAGCTGTACCAGGAAGGCCACAGGCCCAGTAGCTGTCCTGAGGCCCAGGGAGGCCACCAGTCGCTCAGTGTTTCTGATTTCCGTGTCTGGGATTATCTATGCTCTGCAGCCTCTCTACAAGAGCTCCAAGGGGCTGCATGACCCTGGATGCCCTTGGCAGGGTGGGAAAGCATGGGCTGGGCCTGGGGCCCAGACGGGAAGTGGAAGCCAGGTGTGGTGGCACCAGCTGGGAATCCTAGCCCTGTGGAGGCTGAGGCTGGGGGCTGGTGGGCCTGAGGGCAGCCTGGACTACACAGGAGGTCCTGCCTCAAATATCACCAGAAATGGGGCCCAACTGTGCTAGCAAGGGCAAGGACACGAGACAGAGGGAAATGGGACATTCATGGTGGAATCCCGGAGGAGGTGGAGCTAGAGAAGTTGCAGAAACCATAGTGGTGGCATTTCAGTTGTCCTTGGATTTGACAGGGTTTTCTGCGGTGCTGGGACTCGAACCCAGGGCCCCTCACAGACTTGAGGCAGTGCTACTACTGGCTACACCCCAAGACCTGGCTTAATTAGAGGGTGGGGAGCAAAAGCAACTGGAGGTCAGAAAAGTGCCCTGCAGGAGACCACACCGACAGTCAACCTCTGCCTGGCGCCAGCCTGGGTTCACCAAACCCTTGCAGTCCTCTCAGTGACTAGGGCGGTCACTATCCCCATTTGACAGAAAGAGAAGCCAGCAGGAGCCAAGGTAGGACCAAGATTTGCACTGCACAGTTTCCTTGGAGCCTCGCACACCAGGCGGACGCACGACGGCCCAGGGTCCCGGGCCCCGGACAGAGCTGGCTCGGAGGAGGCAGGAGCCAGGGTATCCCTGAAGGACAGCCCTGTCACTTCGCAGGGGAGGAGACTGCAGCTGGCCCTTGTCACTGGTGTCATGGTCTTGTCTCTCCAACACTGCCTTGAGACCAGACACAGCTATGGTCCATTGATTCACCCCAAGCATCAAACGCGGCTGTGTCCAGGAAGTACTTCTCAAATACATGAAGGTCACACTGGGCCTTGAGGCTGGGCCAGCACTTGTGTCTCCTATGTCTCCCCTTGAGATCCTGCAGCAAACCAGCCTGGAGTCATGGTGGTCAGCACAACCACAATGTCATGGAACAGCGGCCACATGGACACAACTATTTTAGGGACTGGTCAGGGGGTCGCCCCAAGCCAGGCCTGGGCATTCTTAGATCTGGGTGACCATGCCCACGACAACTGTAACCACTGCAGAGCCCAGTAAGAGAGACGATGGCCTCTCGGGACCTCTATCCAGGCCTGACCAGCTGGGGAATCAGCCATGGGCTGCCGCCTGCCTGTGATCTCACCAAACCTGGCCTGTTTTCTCCGGCTGCTGGGACCACCGTTGGCTACCTACCAACATGGCTTCTTTCTTTGTTTTTCCCCCTTTGTCTTTTTGAGACAGGGTCTCACTATGCAGTTCAAGCTGGCCTTGAGCTCACTTTGTAGCCCAGGCTGGTCTTGAACTTGCAAAGATCCTCCTGCCTCAGCCTCCCGGGATAACAGGCATGCGTCACCATACCTGGCTTAAACACAGTTTCTCTCTGAGCTGCACATTTAAGGGAAGGACTTGGGGGCGGATGACCCAGTCAATGAGGTCATGGCTAGAACGACACTGCACAAAGTGACTCACTGTGTGACCCTAGACCAGGCTTACTGTCCTGGCCACCCATGCTGGCCCTATGAGCAGCTCTCCCTACAGATCAAGGGAAGGAGGAGAAAGGCAAACACAGGTGCCCACTCTGGCAACAGAAACGGCCAGTGGACAAATGAACACAGACAGAAGGTAGGGATCCAACCCCCATTCAGGTCCTGCTCCACGTGGCCAGGGCCACCCATAGCTCAGAAGCACGTTCAAAGTCCCTGAGCACCCGGGGCAGCAGAGGATAGAGAGGGACAAGATCTCTGGCAAAACTGGCCGTCCTGAGGTCACAGGAGAGAGGGCTTCAGGGACGACACCCCCCAGATCAGGGCGGGATGTGGTAAGGACACATTTCCCTCTAAGCACCTCCAGATCGGGATCCACAGGGCAGAAGAGACAGCTCTGAGTCAGAGGAGCACGGTTAATTCTGAGAATGAGGTAGCATCAAAAGCGACAGCGTAAGCGGAAGTGGTAGAGGAAGGGGGGCGGGAGGGTGAGGGGTGGGGAAGAGGGCTCCCCAAGCACTAGTCTAGGGGAGCCATCTGCTGACGTTGGGTCTGCTGAATTTCACATTTGCAGGTATGCACAGGGTTAAATCAGAGAGTCAGCTCCGGTGGCCAGGGGACAGCCAGATGTGTGCACAGCTGGCAATCACACCTTCTCCCCTGCACACAGCTCCTGCCACCCTGTGCTATCCCCACACTGAGGACTGTGAACCTACAGATGTGCCCTCTGTGGGCACCAGGCAACCCATTATGCACCCCCGCACCCAAGCCACGTCCCTCCTTTCTCCTGTAGCTCGGGATGGAGCCTGCAGATGCTCCATCCTCTCTTAGGGGCCACCACTGTCCCCAATGTCAATCCCCCAGAAGCAGAACACTAATCCTACAGCGAAAAGGAGGGGTGGGCTGTAACCAGCCTAGACTTCAGCTGGTTTAATTTGTCAGGGGGAGGAGAGGGATTTTAATCTGGCAGCAGATTAACCACATTAAAGAGCAGCTCCGGGGGACTTCCAACCTCCCCCTGCAGGGGCCACTCCCCCCACCTCCCCCACCTCCCTGGGTCAGTCCCCAGCCCCCTGCCCTGCCTCTCCTCCCCAGCTCACTGGCTTCAGGTTCCCATGGCAACCGCATCCTCAGCTCCAGGCAAGAGCTGAGAGAGAGGGAGAGAGAGAGGGAGGGGAGAGAGAGAGAGAGAGAGAGAGAGCGCGAGAGAGATCTGTGGGTATGGGTGGGGGCAGGGGATAAGCCGCTGACAGCACAGGCGACCTAGACCAAGGAGAAGCCCACAGGGCCCCACCAGGAGGACCGAGCAGGAGCCCAATCACACCTGACAAGGACACAGGCCAACTCTGTAGAAGGGCTGCAGCGCTGCCCCTCCTCCCACCCACAGGACTGGCTCCGAAGCAGCTCAGCTGTCTGACCCAGCTCCCTCCTTCCAGAAACAGTGGCTTGGGAGCCACAGGGCGCCTCGGTCAGGGGTGAACAACATACTGCCTGCAACTGTTACTCTCAGATTCCAGGCTGGACAGAGGGTGTGTGTGTACGTGTGTGCACGCACGTGCACCACTGTGGGCTCTGAGACAGACACAGGAAGCCTCATCCCAGCTGGAAACCTGCCCTACCACAGCCTGGACAGGGCCCCACCTCCCCTGCAGGCAGGAACAGCCCACTAGGTCAGGAAGCCTGGGGACAGGGGAAAGGATTTGGCATTCATGATGCCACAACCAGGTAAGTCTGGTGGTCAGGAAGATGTGGGCAGCAGCCTGGCCTTCAGGACACAGCACAGCCACAAAGTAGCCCTGTCCTGGGTCGAACGCTACCCCGAAATTCACCATCAGCCTTCAGTGTTATTGGCTGAGTATGCTGATGTGCATTTATAATCCCAGCATTCAGGAAGCTGAGGCAGGCGGATTTCTAAGAGCTCAAGGTCAGCCTGAGCTACCTAGTGAGAACCTGTCTCAAAAACACAACCACAACAAAATTCCATAAGGATCCTCATGAGATAGCCAGTGACCTATGGTGACAAGCAAGCAGCTTCCATCCCAGGAGAGGGGTCACCCTGAGGACCTCTGAGTCACCTTCCTGCTCTGAAGCCCTCGAGGGCAGGGAAGATGCTGAGAGGCGACAAGGGGGCCCAGGTGATAAGGGCAGTGTCACTCTCCACCACCAGCTCCACTCTAGCAGAGGAGGACAGAACAGGGATCCTCACAGTCCAGCTCTCCTTCCTGCAAGGACCTCACCCTCCCAGCCCCAGACCCCTTCAAAAACCACAGCTTTGTGTTTCAGGAGGAACAAAAATACATCAACCAAAGCAACAAAACAAGTAGCCTCTCGATTCCCGAAAAGAAGAAGAAAAAAAAAAAAAGCAGCACCAGAAAAATAGGCCTGACTTCCTGCTGCCTCTGGTCAGAGCTGTTGATCCCAAAGCCCCTGCTGGGAAGGCTGCCCAGCACAGGCAGGAGGACTCCCTACCCCACTTTCTCAGCCTCCTGTCCCCTCCTGTCCCCCCTGGGCCTAAGGGTAAAATGCTGGAGACAGGAAGCAACAAGAAACCATTGTGCGACCAGAGCGGGGAAAGGCAGGCGCAGTCCAAGATCAAGGGTGGACTGCAGGAAGAGCTCGCCAGCCCTCTGGACTGCAGCGCTGCAAAGAGAGCAGGCAGGGTGAGCACGGTACACGCCGGTCACACTGGAGCTCAGGAGGCTGAGGCAGGTCTGGGTCACAGGGATTTCAAGGCCAGCTCGGACTACACAGCAATCCAGCGCCAACTCCAACACCCCACTATCAGGGACATCTAAGCCCCGCACCCCACATCTCAAGTAAACTGCTGGGTGAACCCCACCATCTTCAATCAATGGTGAAACAAAAGCTGGAACTGAGTGCTTCTTTTGGCCAGTACCCAGCCCCTGGCACCCCAAAGGCAGACTCCCCTGTCTACCACCCTCCCCTGTCTCCCCTGTCTTGGTCCCATCCAAAATGGAGGGAGCATTAGCCCTGCACTGCCCAGCCCTGATCTGGGCAGGGAGTCATTTGCAAGGAGACCAGGAAGCAGGCTGCTCTGGCCAGGGGTTCTGGAATCTTCTTTACAAAACAAATCATCAAGGGTACCAGTGTTTCCCAACCACACACTGAACACCCAGACACAGAAGCCACCTTTTTCTGCTCCCAGTCACTTTCCATATTCAGTCCAGCTGCCTCAGGCTCAGGGATTGGCCCTGCCAGCTAAGCTCACACCCTCACTGTGCACTCTGCCACACCTAGGGGACCCACAAAGGGATTGGCCCAGCCTGGGACAGGGGTGTTGCCCATGAGAAGGGGAACACGAGACAGCTCTACCTGGACAGCCAGGATTCGGGGAGCTGCCAGAGACAGGCAGAAAACAGGAAGGGCACTTGGGAGGCTGAGGCAGGAGGATTTCTGTGAGTTCCAGGCCAGCCTGAATTACATAGGACACCCAAAAAAACCCAAATAAAGAAAAAAAAAAAAAAAAAGAAAAGAAAAAAGAAAATATTAAGAGAGGAAGATTCAGGGCATGGCTCAGTGGTTGAGGGTTTACCCAGCATGGACAGGGCTCTGGGTTCATGCCCACTAGTGCAGCAAGAGGAAGAAACCAAGAGGAGGTCAGCAAGTTCCTGGTGCAGGGACTTTGCTGCAGACATCAGTGTGTCTGGGTAACAGGTGTTTTTTTCCTTTTCTTCTTCTTTTTATGAATGGGTCTTGCTATGAAGTTCAAGCTGGTCTTGCACTCACTATGAACCAAGGCTGGCCTCAAGCTCTGGGAAATCTTCCTGCCTCAGCCTCCAAAATGCTAGGAGTAAAGGCATGCACCCACCACACCCAGCAGGAACTTCTAACTGGAAGAAACCCAAGGCTTAGATAGGTGCAGAGGGCTTGTCGTGGATGCAGCCACATCTGGCTGGCTGCCCCACCGCACAGCTGGCTCACAGATACCCAGGTCTCACCTCTCAGCCAAAGTCCTCCTAGTTGGGCCAGAGGCCAGAGGTCACCTGGGTGTGGCTAAACAGCTGAAGAGGAAAGCAGAAGGGGTCACACTGCTTCTCTGGCTGGACAGACACCAGGAAATGGACCTGTAGCCCCTGCACCCCTACTTGCTGCTTCTGGGCTGCCCGGAAGACCAGTGAGACAGAGCTGGGCCTGTGGTGCCAAGCCAAACCGAGAAGCACAGGGAAACAGGAAGGCCTCCAGCTCCTGGTGCTCCCTGCGTTGTGGGCCTTGGAGTCCCAGGAAGCCACAGGAAGCCATGCCGGGGCTCCTGCAGCCTCTGCTCCTGTTCCGAAGCATCTACGTCCAGCAGCCAATGGGTTAAGGGAGGTTCAGCTTCTCTGAACCCCACCCAGGTCCCCAAAGGAGGGCAGAAGTGGCAGAGAATCAAGACTTGTATGAGCCCATAAGAATTTGAAGAATGTCCCATTTCCCTAGGGGCTGGGAGGAGCTTGGGGTAACAGAGCCAGGGGCAGCTGGAGCTGGAACTGGAGCTGGAGCTGGAGCAGCAGCCTGAGTGAGGCTCGGCCCTCTCTCCACCCAGGACACCTGCCCAGGCCCAGCCCTTCAGCTAGGACGTTGCTCATGCACCTCTTGGGCCTGAACTCTTCCCCGAAGCAGCTCGCCCAGTGGCTGGCAGAGGTGGGCCCAGCGCAGCAGGAGGTGGACAGTAAATGGGTGATGGTCATTCCAAGCCCTCAAGGGGTAAGGCCCAGGTACAGAAGGACACTGGGAGTGACCACATGAGTGACAGCTCCTCAGAGGAACCTAAGGTCCCAACTCCTCTTGGATAAGCCCCAAGGTTCCCTTCCTGCTGAAGCCTGGCTCCTAAGGGCCTCTTGTCTGAGAATTAATCTAATACTCCCAGGCCTGGGCTTGCAAGGAACTGTCCCCCTCCTGTCACCACCCTTTCCCCTGTTCCCAAGGGAAAGCAAAAAGCTAGAGTCAAATCAGACCCCAGTTCATTGAATACCGATCCTGCCCCCTTTGCAAGTGGTGTGGCAGCCCCAGCCCAACTGCAGGCCGTGAGGTCTCCCACAGGCCTCGGCCCCCAGTGACCACGGGGTACATGCCCAGCCAGCCCAGCGATCTTCACGAGTCCCTTCCCAGAAACTTCAGTTTCCTCCTTGGTAAGGAGAAGACAGGAAGAGCCCTTGCTGCACCCAGCTGTTTGAGGACATGCATGGTTGTGACACAGGGCAGGGCATCCAAGTACCAGCAGGGTCCCGTTGGGGTTCTCAGAGGGGAAGGAAGGAAGGAGGAGAGAGAGCAGGTGCTGGCCCAGCCCTGACACACACCTCGCCCAACACCCCCCCCCCCCCGCCCCGCCACGCAGGCCTGGACTCACGCGTTACAGTAGGGTTTCTTCTCATAGCCCTTGTAGTTCTTCATGTTCAGCGTCATCTTGCAGGTCTCGCAATGGAAGCATGCTTTGTGCCAGAACTGCGGGCAGAGACAGGATCACCCCTCAGACACGGCTACCAGCTTGTCCCCAGCAGGCAGCCAGGCAGGGCAGGGCAGGGCAGGGCAGGGCAGGGCAGGGCAGGGCAGGGCGGGGCGGGGCGGGGCGGGGCGGGGCGGGGAGAGCTCTCCAGGTGGCTGCAGGCCTCATAGCTCATGCAGAGGGGCGCTCAGGGTTGCTGGGCAGGAAGGGGCAGCTCCCCACCCCATGGGACCTGGGATGGGGAGGCACCGGCCCCATGCACCCTAGTCCCATGCTCTAGCCGCCTCCTCCTCCCGACAAGAGCCCTGACCAGGAGTGAGTGTCCTGTACTGCAAACCATGCACCCCTGGGGCTGCAAATCCTCCCTCCTACACCCCCGGGGACATCGGTCACAGCTGGGTGACCTTGGGCAGCTCCCTGGTAGCAGCAAGCAAGTTCCAGTGTCAGGTCCTGGGTGCAGGCGGCAGGGATGGGTCTGGGGGAGAGGCACAGTGGAGAAGGTGAGGGGGACCCCACTCCTGAGAGAAGCTAGACTGCCCTGGCAGATTCATGCAAAGGAGATATCAAGTCAGCCCGGAAGCTGCCACCTCTGACAGACATGGCTCTCCTGGTCCCTGCCCTGAGCCAGTCGGAGGCCTTGAGGGACCAGGAACCTCAGGGAGGCCCAGGGACTGGGATTCAACACCCATGACCCACTGTGACTAGGGGCCACCAGGCTAATTTCAGGGTGTCTCTGCTCTGTAACACACTTCCCTGTTCAGGAGACCCCAAAGGGAAATCTCAGGATGCAATGTCTTAAAAGAGACAGGAGACCCCACCCTGCAGGGAATCAGCTGCAAAGCCGGAAAGGATGGGGGTCTGAGCTCCTTGCGCCCCCCTCAAAGGAACCTCAGGACCCCAGCACCCCAACTGCCATCTGCTCCACTCCCCACGGTGCACAAGCAAAGCTAAAGTGGGATGGGGTCCCTGCTTCCCAGGCCCACAAAGCGACAGCCCCCTCCCTGGCACGAGGGGCCCCTGCACAGCTGCCCCTCAGTCTGGCAGACTCTGCCTGAGAGGAACCTCAGGGCCCCGCCTCCCCTAGCCCCGAAGGGGCCGCCAGGAAAAACATTCTCGGAATCCAGACCATGACCCACTTTGCACAGACGTGGGAGAGCTCTGTCCCGGGGACCTCCAGAGCCAGAGCCACGTGAAGGAGAGATGCCCCCTCCAGGCCCACCGGCGGCAGAGACACAGGGACCCAGGCTACTGAGCAGGCTGGGGTGCAGGGCAAGAGAGGACAGCTCACCCTTCAATGCCCCAGAGTCCCCTCAGGCTGGGACTGGGGACCATGGTGGACTCAGGAGCAGCAAAATGGCAACAGTGCACTCAGGGCCAGCAGGGCAGCAACAGCTCCATCCTCACACCCAGAAAGTGGAGCTAAAACCACTGTGTGTGTGTGGGGGGGGGGGGGACAGGGGAGGCTAGAACTGGCCAGGCTGTGAGGCTGTTCCCACCTCCCACCTCCAACAATATCCAGGAAATCCCGCAGGCTGGGCGAGAAATCCCGTAGGCTGGGCGAGGTGACAAAGTACGCAGTCAGTCATCCTAGCACTCAGGAGGCTGAGGCAGAACGATTGCCACATTTCAAAAGAGAAGATCTCAGGCAAACATTCCTGGGGCTTAGGAATCAGGAGGGCAAAGCGACCCTGCTTGCCTTGGTGCCCAGGCTCACAGGCTGCACACAGCCCCAGGCCTGGTCACAGGGAGATGCTGCCCCAGGAAGAACAGTCTACCTTGGGGCTGGGGATTTAGCTCAGGGGCATAAGTGCCTGCCTTGCAAGCAGGCAGTCATGAGTTCCATCCCTGGTACCAATAAAAACGAAAAAGACCAAAAAGAAAACCCTCAGCAGAAAACAGGGCCTCATAAAGGGAAAGGGAAGCCAGGCGTCAGAAGCCTCAAAGGCCCTGCCCTTCAGAGTAAGGCTCAGAGCTAGGCACACTCAGCTCAGGTGACAAAGCCTGCAGCCTGGGGCCACACCTATGGTGGCTGAGACTCGGGCTTGGAGCATGGGACCTTCACCTCCTTCCTGCTGCCCAGGGTTTCATTTTTTTTTCCCCTCCTCCAAAGGCAATGCCAGCCCCACCCTGGCAAAGTCAACAGCTTGGCTCCCTCCCTCTGCCACCTGGGCCACTGATTTAAAGGCACAGATCGTGGAGCCAGGTGTGGTGATGCGGCCCTATAAGCCCAGTCCTCAGGAGGCTGAGGCAGGACTGCTTTAAGAGTCCAACCTAGGGGGCTGGAGGTTTAGCTCAGCGGCATAAGCACCTGCCTTGGAAGCAGGCAGCCGATAAAAAGGAAAAAGGCAAAAAAAAAAAAAAAAAAAATTAAAAAAAAAAAAAAAAAAAAGAGTCCAACCTAGACCACTGGACTGCACAGCAAGATCCAAATAAATAAATAAAATGAAGAAGACACAGACTGTTGGGTGTGGTGGTGCATACCTGCTATTCCAGGACTCAAAAGGCTGAGGCAGAAAAATTGTTGCAAGTTCAAGACCAGCCTGGGCTACAAAGGCTGGGTCTACAAAGCACAGGGTCAGCCTGAACTGCATAGAAAGATCCTGTCTCAAAAAGGCAAAAGAAAAAAGGACACAGATCTTTGCTAGATCTCCACAAATTCCAAGTTTCTTTCTCTCTCTCTCTTTTTAATTGGAGATTGAATCCAGGGTCACCCTGAGCTCCTCCCCCAATCTTTCTATTCTTGTTCACTTTGAGACGGGGGTCTTGCTAAGTCAGTAAACTGCCCACACTGAGAATGAACTTTTAATCCTGCCTCAGCCTCCCAGAGGGCTGGGATGTCAGGGCTGTGTGTGTTCCACAGTTAGCAGGTTAGTGGGGCCCACTTTCCTCACTGATGCAATACACAGGAGTGAAAGTGCTCTGGCTGAGCAGGAGCCCTGGGTGCAAATTCACCTATCCTGGACTGGTGTTAAGGGCTCACTATATACAAAGCTCTTGGGTGATTCCAGGGGAGCTGGAACCGAACCAACCAGGCCCTCCCTGACTGTTGCCACCTGCTCTCAGAAGCCAGGGGCAGCAGGCCAGCCAGGGGAAAGGGGTGCGGCAGGACTTTTTAACCGCACAAGGCCCTGGATGCAAAGCAGATGCACAAAGTAAGTGCTCAATAAATATTTGAAAGACTGAAGTTCCCTGTTCCTCCCCCAACTCCAATCCTAGAAACCCTCCACCACTTCCTAGAACCACAGAGGATAGATACTTATCCACTTGCAAAGCACTCTGGTCCCACAGGCTGGCCTTCAAAGGTGACAAGGCTTCTACCCACCTGCCCCTTTAGGAGATAAGTCTAGGGAGGAGAAAAGACCAAGGACACAGCTCCTTCTGGGCTAGGGGCCATGAGGGACTGCCAGGAACCAGGCCACATCAGCCTGCAAGCAGGAAGCCTTGAGAAGCCAGGCAGCAAAAACGCCTAAGGGCAGACCAGCCCCCCCCCCAGGCACCTGCTCCCTATTCCAGCACCTGTGCTGCTCCTCCTTCCTGCCCTCAAGGGGTGGCAAAGAACTGGCCTGACACCTGGCTATTCCAGACCCCTGTCAGGGGACAGCAGGGAGAAGACATGTTTTTCTAGCGCCACTCCTGGAAGTGGGAGGGTTGCACAAGTGGAGGGTGCCAGGCATGCCTGTATACCCAGTCCTGGAGAGGTTGAGGCAGGAGGATCGCCAGTTTCTAGCCAGCCTGGGCTACATAGTGAGTTCAAGGCCAGCCTAAATAACCTAGCAGGACCCTGGTTTTTGTTTTTTAAAAAAGAAGAATCACACAGCTAAGAGTCAAGAACAGTTGGGGAGGGTGGCCTTCAGGTCCCTGCTCTGTGTGACATGCAGTATCAAAGGTCTTTGCAAGGGGCGGGACAGAAAAGGGCAGGGCGGGCACAGCCAAGGCGACACTCCCTGCCAGGCAAGGGCGCCATCACACTTAACCAGATGGGAATACAGAGACCCAGAGCACACTTAATACTGCCTCTGCCTCAGACAGCCAAGGCAGACAGAGGAGCTGCAGGACTCCAGACGCAAGGGCCAAATCCCCTTCCTCCAGAAGCCAGGCTCGCACCCAAGGAAAGCTAAGCCCTCCGGGGGTCGCCACTCCATCTCCGGGGGCTGGTGCGATCCCAGCACCCATCCCTTCTCCTCCTCCCCCATCGGGTCTGGCGAAACAGCTCCATCCCCTCCGCCCCCTTCCCCAAGAGCAACTTCGGAAGTGTTTCTGAACCTTTCCAGCCCCGCCCCTCACCCTGACTCAGGGGCCAAAGATCAAGGAGGAAGTGGGGGGTGGGGTGGCACAGAGACGAAGCCAGTGAAAGAGCCTCTCTCCAGAACAAAACATGCGCCCCTCTTTCACGCAGGCCCTCCACTCTTGCCAGCTTCGATAGAAAGGAGGGGATGTTTGGACTTGGATCCTGGGGGGGGTCACCAGGGTTGATGAGGAGGGGGCCTCCCCAGACACAGGCGGGGTGCCCCGCGCTTCCACGAAGATGGGATCCTACCCCGAAGCGCGCTGCGAACACCCAGTTCTGGCCACCACCCCTCCGAAAGTGTAATGGCAACCAGATGAACGAGTCCAGCGCGGGGGGGGGGGGTCCTAAGAGTCCCCAGGGGACACTGCATTTCCAGAAGGCCACCCACTCCTCCCTGGCAACACCTCCCCCAATCCTTCGGCTTCCCCAGAACTCAGCCAACCCCACCCTCCATTGGAGAAACCTGCTTTGAAAAGTTAGCTCTTTGTTCTACAAGCCGGGTCTGCGGGCTGAGCACAATTTCAGGGGATCCCCACAAGGCGCGCGCCACCTACTCACCCACTCAACCTGAGCCCCAGACCCCGCCTGGCTCGGACTGAGCTGCCCAGCCCCGGGAGGTGGCTGTTAATTCGAGTTGGGGAACTGGGGAGCCTTGGGGAAAATGCGTGGGTCCCCCTAAATTACTTCTCCACCAAGGGGGCCCAAAGGGGGGGTCTTGCCAGAGGTGCCCAGCACCCGGCGCGCAATTGCCTCCGACAGCCCCCGCCCCAGCCTCGGGGCCCGGAAGCCCGGGTGGCCTAGCCGCGGTTAGCGTCCCCGCCGCGCCCCGCCCCCGCCCCCTCCCCCAGTCCGCGCTTCCGCCTACTTGGCGCTCGGGGCCGCGGGAGAGGGAGCGGCCGTCCGCGCTCGCCCTCGCTGCCGGGGTGCGGGACTGCACCCCTGAACCCCTGCACACACGCATACACTCCAGGCCTGGCCACTCCGTCCCCTAGCCCCGGGGCGCGGGGAACCCCCTCCCGCAGAGCTAGCTGCGCACGCCTCCCACCCGAAATCCCAGCTTGCAGACCCCGGTCTGTCCCTCCGTACCTCAGGACGCAGCCCCCTCCGCGCAGCTCCGCGGACGCAGGGACGAGGCGGCGCAGACCCAACCCCTCTCGCCTCCTCCTCTTCCTCCAGCTCCGGGCTCCCGCACTGCCTAGACGCGCCTCGGGGTGCGGGCTCACCTTATCCAGACAGTTCACCTTCTCCGTGGGGTACACGATCTTGCCGCACCGGGCGCAGTTGGGGTTCATGCTGGCTCCTGGAGAGGCTGGGGCGGGGGCGCCCGAGCTCGCGCGCCTTCTGCGACCCGGGGCTGGCGGGCGGGCGGCAACCGCGGCTGCAACAGTGCAGACGCGGCGGCTGGAGCTGGGGAACTGGCCTCCGCCTCCGCCTCCTTCCCCTAATAAACACGGGAGGAGGAGGGGCCGCGCGGCGGGGGCGCGCCTCGGGCACGAGCGGGGGTGGTGCGCGGCGCGGCGCGGCGCGCTCCCCGCCGGCGCGGGCTGAGCAGGCGGCTCAGGGCAGGGGGGCCGAGACCCCAGTGCTGCCAGCGGCGGCGCGCAGCACCCCCGGGACGCGCGGTTCAGAGGACGCCCAAGCCTCCCGCGCCGTCGAGGGCGACCTCGGCAGCGCAGATGCACCCGGGCCGGGACTTTCCTCTTCCCCCGCGGACAGATCGGGAACCCCCTGCCATCCCCCGCTAGCGGCCCCGCCGCGTCCGCAGTCTGCGGGGCGCGGCACCCTGCCTTCCTCTGACCCCTTCTTCATTCCTTCATCCCATTTCGTCCTCCCTCCCCGCGGCGGGGCGGCCACGCTGCTCTTGAGGTGCGGAACAGAGCCACTTCCCGCCGCTGTACTGGCGCGGGGGTATAGCTCAGTGGCAGAGCATTTGACTGCAGATCAAGAGGTCCCTGGTTCAAATCCGGGTGCCCCCTCGGAGAGTTTTCCTCTCCTAACCAGTTTGACCCATTTTGTATTTTCAGTGCTCCATTCGGCGTTGGAGCCCAGGTCAAAACAAAACAAGGAAAAATAAGTCTTTTCCTCATTTTGAGCCTTAGCAGGAACCTTGTAGTTTTGCTTTGTGCCAGCGGAAGGAGGTGTGGATACGTGTACAGCCAGGGTGGGGGCAGGGTCGGGGTCCAGCCCAGGTTGAATTTTATCTTCCCTTGAGGTCAAGAGGGGAGCCCCACTGGACCTCCACCTCAGGGGTCTTTATTCCAGGTGACAGAATGAAAGCCTTTAGAGAATGTTAGAAATTTCAAGCGGCCCTTGAGTTGCTCCGATCCTCCTCCCCTAGAGATTACAGATATGTGCCACCACATGTGGCTGGATCAAGCCCATTTTAATTAAATACAAAAATAAAACTATTTCCCGATGCCACGTGATGTAAGTAAAGGCTGTGGTTTTCAGATTTGAACACACACCAGCATTACCTGCAAGGCCTGTTGAGAAAGGGTCTCGCTACCTGGCCCAGCCTGGCCTGGGATTCAGGACCATGCTCCTGCCTCAGCCTCCCTAGTGCTGGGATTACAGGCATGGGCTATCATGCCTTGTCTGGGGAATTTGCATTTTGTACAATTTCCTAGGAGGTGCAGGTGTGCAGACCACACTGGGAGCCACCAGACTGATTACACAAAGGCTGTGTGGTGCTTCAGTCCCTATAGATAGGGCTAGATGTCTGTAGGCTGCATGATTGACAAGCAGGACTATCCTGCCAGAGGCAAATAAATGACTGAGATGCAAAATCAGCCCCTCTACGAGATTTTGCCCATAAAAAGAAAAAATCAGGGAGCTGGGCAGAGGCATGCTGCTGGGTCAGGGGGCAGTGGTGATATTTAAAACTTGGAATCTGGCTCTGTCATCCCCAGGGACCTGGGGAATACTCACACATTTTCCTCTCTTGTTCCCATTGCTGGAGCTGCCTGGCTGGATGGGAAGTGGTACTCCAGCTGGAGAGCTAGCAAGCCTACCCTCTTTTTTTAATTTTTATTTATTTATTTATTTATTTTTAAAGCCAGTCAAATTTAGCAGTGGGGGGGGTGGTATACCAACTTTAGTGACACTAATGTTAATAAGTTCTGATAACCCACTGCCATCGGACCAGCCAAGCCTGCCCTCTTTGCCCTTCCCTGAGCTCCTGGGGAGAGGGGAAGTTGGTCACCCCAGTTCTCATATACCCAAGCATGGACACCTCCTGATCTTCTCAGGCAGCGATGAACTAGGCAAAGGAATGTTGCTTTAACTCTGATGCAGCACTCTTTACCCAAAATCAAATTACAATGAACATTAAAAACAGTAGGAAAAAAAAAATTACACAGGCTGGGTGTTGGTGGCACACGCCTATAGTTGCTACACAGGAAAATCACTGCAAATTCGAGGCCTGCCTGAACCGCAAAGGGAAACTGCCTCAAAACAATAAATAAAAGCAGGGCACAGTGACAGAGGCCTATAATCCCAGCACCTGGAAGGCTGAGACAAGAGGATGTCTGAGGGTTTGAGGCCAGCCTGGGCCACTCAAAGAAAACCTGTCTCAAAAATAAATAAACAAAACAATAGCAGTGTTGGTGAGTAGTGTTTCAGGTAGGGATGACTGGGCACACTCACTCTTGCAATCCGGAGTATGGGAGTGTCTCTCACACTGTTCAGTGTTCCTACCATTTCCAGCCACAAGGGTCACTGCCCTCTGGACCTCCAATACCAGTGTGAGTGGCAAAGGACATCCTCAGAGTTTTTAATGCAGAATTGATTCCCCATGTTCTGATTTATGCTCCATAGCTGTGAAAAAAGTAGCTGTTTCATAATCCACTATTGCTTGGGGAAAAGGTAGACATACCAAGGGGGCACCCAGATCTGAACCGGGGACCTCTTGATCTGCAGTCAAATGCTCTACCACTGAGCTATACCCCCTTCATGGCTGAGGTGCTGAGAGATTGATTTATATGGGACTGAAATTTGTTCAAAATCTCTACTTTTTTACAGGATGATATAAATTTATCAATGAAACACATATTAAAAAAAAAAAAAAGCAACTGAGGCCAAGCCTGGTGGCACACACCTGTAATCCTAGCATTCCAGAGGCCAAGGCTGCAGCCAAGGCAGGAGGATCCCTGTGAGTTGGAGGCCAGCCTGGGCTGTATATGGAGCTCAAGGGTGTCCTGAACACAGATGCCTGTGAAAACACAGGAATTTAGGTTCAAGTCTGCCTTTTTTTTTTTTTTTTTTTTGGTTTTTGAGACAGAGTCTCACCAAGTAGTCCAGGCTGGCCTCAAACGCACAGCCATCCTCCTCTTCTCAGCCTCCGAGTGTTAGGATTACAAGCCTGTATCACCACCACCCCCCATCCAGCCTGACTTTTCTAGGCTCAGTAGTGTATCCACAAACCCATTCTTTTTTTTGTCTCCTAACAAGTTGGAGAGTAAACTCATACCAAAAAAGAAAAGAAAACTGGGTACAAAACTGGATGTGGAAACTTTCTTCCTGGTCTGTTCAAAACAAAACAAAATGAAACACAGTAGCCAAAAAGACACTTCCAGCTGGGCATGGTGGCTAGTGGCATAATCCCAGAATTCATTAGGTAGCCTAGGGCTGGGCCTGGGATTTAGCTCAGTGGCATAAACGCCTGCCTGGCGAGTGCAAAATCACAAGTTTAATTCCTAGTACCAAAAAAGAAAGAAAGAAAAAAAATAGTAGCTCAAGGCTGGGCTCAAAACTCACAGAGATCTTCCTGCCTCAGTCACCACAGGGCTGAGATCATAGGCAAAGAATTTGTAATTTCCAGATGAGACTAGTATACTGTATTAGTTAATATCTAAATATTAGCTATTTAATAAGTGTTTTTGTGGGGTTTTTTTTTTTTTTTGGTACCAGCAATTGAACTCAGGAAATTTGCCTTGCCAAAGAAGTGCCGTGCTGCTGAGCTACATCCCCAGCCTTAACTTTTTTGGGGGGAGTGTCTTTTTGAGACAGGGTCTCCCTATGCAGTTCAGGCTGGCCTTGAGCTCACTTGGTAGCTCAGGCTGGTCTTGAATTTGCTAGGAGCCTCCTGCTTCAGCCTCTCAAGTGCTGAGGTTACAGGAATGCACCACTATGCCCAGTTTTTTTTTTGCATGCTTTGTCAATTATAGTTAAAGAAGCAAAGTTTTTTTTTTTTTTTTGTCTTTTTTGAGACAGGGTCTCCCTATGCAGTTCAGGCTGACCTTGAGCTCATTTTGTAGCCCAAGTTGGTCTCGAACTGGAAACGATCCTCCCACCTCAGCCTCCCGTGTGCTGGGATTATAGGCGTGAGCCACCACGCCCAGCTCAGAAACAAGAATTTGTGTATAATATACCTATAATCATGGCTTAGGTTTCAGACACAGGGGATTCCATTGAGCATGGTATCACAGTCAGGTTACATACTGTGCACATCCCCTCGGCCTGCTATCTGGCTGGAGATCTCACAACCAGGCACCTGAGCTGAACTGCGTAGCAAAACCCCACCTCAAAAAGACTAATAAATAAATAACACCATTGATAATGAAAGAAATGAGGTTGGGGCTGGGGATTTAGCTCAGTGGCATAAGTGCCTGCCTTGCAAGCAGGCAGTCATGGGTTTGATCCCTGGTACCGATAAAAAGGAAAAAGACAAAAAAAAAAAAAAAAGAAATGAGGTTTATTTTGCCTTTTCTTTGTTTTTTGGTACTGAAAATTGAACTCAGAGCCTTACCATTGAACTACATACATCCCCACCCCCTCTTTTTTTTTTTTTTTTTTGAGACAAATTCTTATTAACTAAATTGTCCGGTCCAAGCTTGAATTTATGATCCTTCTTCCTCAACCTCCTAGCAAGTTGGGATTCCAGGCATGCACCACCATGCCCAGCTAGTATGCGCTACTTTTATTATGTTTTTAAACATTACTTTTAAACTATGATCTTCCTCCTTTCAGCTGAGGAACTGTAGCTTAGGTATAGAGCATTAGACTGCTGACCAAGAGGTTGAATGCAGGGCCTTTTAGGAGCCTTCCTTCCAAGATGGCTGGCTTACAAACCAAACTGAACAAATATATTACCCAGGATGCACTGTGCTACTTTCAACCAAACCAGCCTTGGAAATAAGGAAATGAAGCCTCTGACTTCCTGGTGCTGAGGGGTATTGTGAACCTTTCCAGGGCACAGAAAGGACAGCTTCATTTCTGGAAGGTGCTGTACGTTCACATACCTGGACATTCATTATGTACCCAAATATACAAACAATAAATTTTTAATTTTTTTAAATTTTTTGTATTTTTTGGTTTTTTGTTGTTGTTGTTTTTCGTTTTTATCAGTACCAGGGATCAAACTCAGGACTGCCTGCTTGCAAGGCAGGCACTTATGCCGCTGGCTGAGCTAAATCCCCAGCCCCAAATGTTTTGTATTTTTTGAGACAGGGTCTCACT